ATACGGAAATTAGCGGCGAGTATCGCGATATTTTTAAACGCTGTAGTGTCTGGTGTTCGTCGCGGACCACCGAGACGAAAAATTCGACTGGATAGCAGGTACGTAACTTTTAATGCTCACAGAGGACGGAGGGAGAGGCCGACGAGAGGAGGGGCTCTGTACGTATCTCGTCGGGGATTAAAAATAACTAAGACACGTGTAACACTCTTCCACTGTTTGGCGGGCTGGAAATACGTAGCATGCGATCACGCATCCTCTACTGCCTTCTTTTTCTCTTCTCTCTCTTTTTTCCGAAACTTTCCCAGTCCGCGTGCTCTACTCGTACGCGAATAAATATTGCAAGACCATGTTAACGGTCGCGTAAAAACGACATCTCTCTCCCCGCTATGTTCCGTGATCGACATGAGAATATATAGGTAATAATAAATATTTCAGCAATCACACACAAATGGATAACTCGCTTCTCAATTCGACCCGTTCGGAAATTTATTTGTCTCGGATATTACTCGAAAGGACACTTCGAAGGCTTCGTATAAAACGTAAAATTGGTTTCGCGATATTCGCGACGATCGATACGTCGTGGCGAGTTGGAAAATTGACGGTGTCTCGACGGTGCGCGCACGAATTATACCGACTGGCAGCCGGTGCAATTCCGCTTATTTATAACCATTAGATATCACGGTTCGTATTTTTAACCGGTTCACAGCCCGATGACGGAAAGAAATCGCCAAGTGTTATTTATAATCCGCGACCGAAGACGCGACGGAACAATGGCCGTCTTCTCTCGCACGAAATTCTCCGTCGAAACGATCGTTGTTGAACGGACACATTCAAGTGTACATCCTCGTGCGAGATATGCGCGCCTCGAGAGCTAAGGGAACGTGAATTGTTTAACTGGTTTCCGCGATACACGCGCGTATCGAAGCGTATCTCGCGCAGTCACGTCGGAAATACGCGCGGATTGTCTCTCCCGGCTTGAGATATCAGTCGCAAAAAATGCGAGCGATACGGGAATACGCGTGAGTACAGTGCCAACAGAATTATCCTATTTCGATAAAAGTTTCGATCGTCTACCGTGTCCTCGTGATCAGCAATGTGAATGAAATCCCTCTTAATCCCACAATCAAGCGGGGAAGCGCTCGCCTAAAATACCTCGGAAATATCCTTCTCATCTGTGATAAATGATAAGTATTTCGATACATTGTCGTTTAATTAAGACAATTGAATTTTCTGCTCTTGGAATATATAGGATGTTCCTAGCCGAGGAAGCCTACAAAATTCTAGAATGCGCATTCTAAATAAAAGATATAGATAATTCTAAATAAAAAAGATATTCAGATATTCAGCTCAGTTATCGTGATATAGACAATTTTATTAACAGCAGGCGGAAAATACCGTTCTAGTACGTCTACCGTTATTGTGCGAACAGGAAACTTGAAACAGAAAGAACTGAAAGCCCGTGTCATTCAGAAATTTACGTTACAAGACGAGAATGAAATTTTTCGAATCGATCTGTGTCTGAACTTTTTTGCTAGAATGACTTTCAGAACGCATTGTAGAAGTTGCTCGATTTTCTCGCGGAGCACCCTGTACAGCGTCGTGACATGTACACGAAGAAGCTCTATTTCCGTATCTAATAGAATCTGGCAACATCGGAAGGTTAAGTATAATGCTGTCGGTCTATATTATATTGAAAAAAATCGACTAATCGAGCGCGAAGACGGTAATCGAAGAAGGTAATCGATGATTCGCAAACGGAAGAAGCGTCGAATAATCGATCAGGCACGGCCCGCTCCGTTACTTCCACGCGTCTGACAGCGGCTATCTATTTCTACTTGCAGCGGCGTTTCTGTGCCCCGGGATCTCGAGATGCAAGAGAGCGTCTAACGCGCGTCTTCATCCGCGATCCTATAAACGGGCCGGAGGTATCCCAACATTATTAACTCTTAATCGATCTTCGTATACCTTGGCGTGCGTCCCGGCGAAAATCATTTTCGTTCTCTTTCTTCCGCCTCTACCATTTCCTTCCTCTTTCTCAGATTTGACAACGAATTGACGAGACGGGCACGATACTATAAAAAAGCAGACTTGATCTAATTTTACGTCTAATCGACCGTTACTTGCTCACCGAATATTATCTTCTTGGCGTTATCTTCTGGAAAATGTTTCAGACGCCGAAACATTTTGGAACGTGTAAGTAAATATTGTTCCATCGCGGAAAGCTTTTACCCTTCTATTTGGGGCTTTTATCCTCCCACTCGGTCCTATTCGAACGTAATTGTCTATAATGAAGACCACGATCTAGAATAAAATGTTACGAGGGGGCGGCAAAAGAGCAGATTTTGTGTATTCGACTATTGACGAAATCCAACAGAGAGTCGTAAATTAGCGATCGCGCGCAACTCGCGACGCGGATATATTTTCCACAATTCGTTCTGCATATCCCTGCTTTTGTCCAAATAATCCGGCATTTGGCGCGCCGCGAGTAGCTCGGGAGACCCTTAAGCCGCCTATCTGTAACCGTTGGCATTTTCGCTCTAACCATCTCCCGCCTCTGCGAGTTTTAATTTTACTTGACGCGCGCGCGCACACGCTCCCTTTCAAAGATCGGTTTTGCCCGAGAGAAATCAGCTCCGATCGTTCGCCGCTCATATCGGTGAGATCGTTGCCTACTAATGAATCCCTTTCTTAGTTAATATAATCCAAATTCGTACTCTGAGATAATGAAACTGTCGCTCGTTATTTTCTCTCTCCTTTTTAGCGTATGCATCACAAATGTCGCAATATATACTTGTCCGCTCCGAAAGGAATTCACCGTTGATTGAAATGATAATAATCTCGCGCGTGTCGCACCCGCGAGACATTCGAAGCTGAAGATTCATCGACGGGGCGAGCGTGCAACAATCCGCCAAACATTTTGACGGCCGGGAAAATAAACGCTCCCTCGACAGGCTGAATCGCGGCGGTTGCTGCGAGAGATAAAGAGAGAGAGAGAGAGAGAGAGTGCGCGCGCGGACGCGCGTTCAATACCAAATTCCGTAGGCAGCACCGAAATAACTTAATGACCGTTTCCTATCCGAACGCACTATTTCACCCGGTCGTCCGCGCGTACAGTCGTCGCTGCCGCCTTCGTCGTCGACGTCGTCGACGACGTGTGCGCGCGAAGGTTCGCACGTGCGTAATTATTAGCGACCCTCTATCGATTCGGGCCAGTTTCGTCGTAGCGAGCGAGCGGCTGTCAAAGGTTGGGTATATTTCCTCGCAAGTGAGTCTAGGTCACCCGTATCGGGTCGATACCACGAAAGCGGGACAAAGGCGAGTCTTCGACTGTGCCTCACGCGTATTACAGTCGTGCTGACCAGAAGCAGCCGGCGAGTACATACGTCCGCGTTCGCAGCGAGGCGCGGTGAGAAAAGAGCCGATCGGCAGAGAGAAGTGCCTCAACCTCGCCGGGGGATGGTTATTTCTCTTCCTCTCCGCCAGCGAGAGTCAACCGAGGAGAGAGAGGCTCTATAGGCGTGCACGCGACGCGAACTTGTGAAAAAAGAAGGCGCATGTAAATTAATAATAACGAGACCGCTTATACACCGCGTTAACGAGGAGGCGGCCGACTATTTCCTCGAGAATTCGTAGTTTCAATCGGACTTTCGATCGCTGCGGCATCGTCGCAAGGGCAATGGTCCCCGCGACCAAACACTTTCGTCGAACGAATGTTAATGGAATAATCGCGAAAATTGCCGCGCAAAAATTGCCCGAGGGAGAGTGCGCGTCGCACACATTCCGTGTAGAAAATCACAGTAGGAAATGAATCGTGTTGTCCTACGGCTTCGATCAATCATCGAATCGATTGCAACGTCTCTCTCTCTCTCTCTCTCTCTCGTCCGTTGTCAGATGGACGTTTGCGCGGCATGCAATCGCTTTCGAGGATGAGAAGTGCCGTCAGCCACGGGAAAACCTCGCAGGAAGACTCTGGCATTGGGAGCCGGGCGACGACGCGTCGTCGTACGAGAACGTCGCGCGCGCGACACATAGGACGACCGCCGAAATGTCGGGCTGAATGGGGTCGGCGACGAGACCGTGCGAATTTCGCGGCGGATTCGGCATCGCCTGGCATCTCGTCTCCTGTCTCGTGGGGACCACGACCGACCGACCGGTTTACATCCCTAATCGAAACGGTTCCTCGACAATGCGCCTGCCCGATCCCGGGGCACGTCATGTAGGAGACTCTCTCTCTCTCTCCCCCTCTCCCCTCTTTCTCCGTCTTCGTCGCTCTCTCAGGGTCTGGCAGGTCTGCTAGCACTCCCGAAATAATGTTCGGAAGAACGGTAGCGCGAGAGAGGAAGGGCGAGGAGGGGGCAATGAGGGAGGTAGGCTGATATCCAGAGGAGGAAGATGAGAAAGGAGCGGAACAAGAACCGCCCGGATTGAGCGCGCGTTACATAATTTTCGTTACTCCGCGGAGCGAAGACCGAGACGGTGAGAGCGGGCTGGTGGGGGTGGGAGTGGACGATGGACGACGACGAGGAGCTACCCCGTAGCGCTTGGTGCGAAAGGAAGAGGGAAAGAGTCGCCGGGGAGGAAGAGAGCGAGAGAGAGAACGATCGACACGGCCAGGGGGGTATGTGCGTATGCGTGTGTGTGTGTGTGTACGTGGGTAGATAAATGGATGGGTGGATAAATGGCACGGGGGTGATAGTGAAGAGGGGATAAGGGAAAAAGAGAGGAATAGAAGGAAATAAGTATAGCTAAATAGAGACTGAGGTACATCAGAAATATACTTGAAGAAAGAGAGAACAAGAGAGAGACGGAGAAACGGAGAGGGGGGGGGGNGAGAACGAGGGGAAAGGGGAGAGACGGAGTAGGAGGAAGAGGTGGAGATAGTGGAGGCTCGTGTCCTGGTGGGCGGAATGGCGAATCAATCCCCGATGAGGGACGGAGACGGCGGGGGGCGAGCGGGAGGAATGGGGGTGGGTAGCGGTGTATGACGACGACGTACTCACCGTGGTGGACGGTGGCAACAAGATGTCTGCGAGGTGTCTTCTCCTCGGTGGCAAGAGAGAGGAAATCCGATGTCACATACGCCGCTTCATCGGGCCACTGTGTTGCCGCTTAATACCACTCCGCGCGGTGCTCTTCGCCCGCCTTCTTCACCTTCTGCCACTAAAAATAAACTCGCTCGCTCGTCGTGCGCTCTTCTGCTGCCCCCGCGCGCGCTCGCCCTCTCTTCCTCCCCTTCTTTTTCTCCCGCTCTCTCTCTCTCTCTCACACACACATGCACACACTCTCTCTCTCTCTCTCTCTCTTTCTCGCTCTCTCTCGTTCGCGCGCGCGCTCGCTCGCTCGCACTTCACGTCTTGTAACGCGGCCGACACATTTATCCGCGCTTTCGGACACTATCGCGCTCCGCGACCGACCACCAACCGCTCGATTCCCTAGAATCGAGGAGGTGGCACTGTGCCGCCGCTCACCGCCGTTTGTCGCCACTGCCGCCGCTACCACCACCGCCGCCTCCTCCACCGCCACCGCGCTGGATGATGATGGCGAGGGATGGCGATTCGATGCACGGAGCGGGGCCTGGGAAAGAGAGACCCGCCGGGGTCGCGTCGGGGGCGGTAAGAAGGGGGCGAAAAGGGAGAACGAGAGAGAGAGAGAGAGAGAGAAGAGGTGTACGTGCGAGATAAGGGCGAGAGGAGGATACACGCGGCGACTTATTCGAATGACACGGGGCCGAGCGATCGACCGAACGCGTTTACGCACGCACGCATAGAGGGGATGCCAGCGTACCGAGAGCGCGGGACTGTCGCGGAGCACAGTCCCTCGTGGTCCCGTCGATCCTCTCTCCCACCCTGCTGGTATCGGCGACGGCGGTTCTTGGCGCGGCCTTCCTCGATGCCTCCTTTCATACAGGCTTTTATCGCGCAGGCATAGCAACGACAGGCGCTACCTGGTAGCTGACGGCGCGCGTTATCGCTGATGGCGACCAGCGAGCCGCGGCGACGGCATCCGCGCATCGACGACGATGAACGGGAATAGCGAGGACGAAGACGAGCACGACGAGACGAGGACCGCGACCCGACACACGACGACGAGGATTATACTCCGATTTCCAGCCGCTACCGTGCTGCTGGTGGCGCGGTGTGTGCGCGCGCACACTCGTGTGTATGTCAGCGCGCGCGCACGATCTCCCCCTCCCTCTCCCACCCGCTCTCCAGCCGTCAGTCGTTCGTACGCGTCCGTCGTGTCGCGAAATGCAAGCGCGACAGGATAAACGGACGCCGCGAAAGAGAGAGAACCGGGAAAGGGGGAAGACGGGACGGGAAGGGGGAGGAGAAAGAAAAAGAGAGGGAGAGAGGAAAAGAGAGAAAACGGTGATAGAAAAGTGCGTGAGACGGGAGCTCGAGATCGAGTTACTGCCAGACGTCGACAGTACCGCGGTCGCCGTTCGACTATCGCGCCTAAAACGTAAAGAACTCATTCGAGGGGAACACAGCTCGCACGCTCGGTTCGACGCGCCGCGCCCCCTTTCACTCAACCTTCCGACCCTTATCGCGCACCCCCGGAGCCGGCGGTGCGTTTCCTCCGCTCGGCGACCACCGAATTTCCGTTCACGCTGCTCGCTCCTCTCGTGTCGTCCTTACTTTTCCTTTTAATTCTTTGTATAATCCTGTCTGTAAATCATTTCTGGCATTTCTTCCGTGAGATATGAAAAATCCTCACATCCTGCGAAAGTTTACGGGACGCCTTAGACGATGTCTTTGGACGATTTTTTAGGCGCCTTATAAAGCAACATCTGTCAAGTGCCAGAATTGTTTATGAAGTTTGTCGTGTTACACCGCCCAAGGCGAAAAGTTGTGAGCATATTTTATTTTGCTTCGACAGTTCACTCAGAGTCGATCGTTCCAACTTTTTGGTAAAATTTATCCGACAGGTATCCATTAGGTAAACATCAATGATTGTTGTAGATTGGTCTGTTCAACTGTTGGGTCAAATCTTACCAATAAGTTAAAACAATCGGCCTCCAGTCCCTTTTAATTTATACATTTCCCCTAGAACGGGAATGTGAAAATTTCAAATATTTTCAAATTAGGAAAAATTCTTTTCATAAATTCACGCTAGGAGAGAAGATTCAAAAGCTTTTCATATGCCGCAAATTAACTGTTCTTGGAATTGTTTATGGAATTTGTCGGGTTTACGCGACAAATATTTAACATGCGAAAATGCGGTATAATTTATAATTATATATAATTCTAATTTTTCAGTCTTAATTTTCTTGTATTAAAGGGTGTGTAACTAATATATTACTTTATTATTTATTTGTATGCCTACACCTCGTATATGTAATTTGACAGCTGTCAGATCACTTATTGCGCATGATTGTCAATTCATTGGTTCGCTCCATCATTTTTCCGAAATTTTTCCGAAATGTGGGAAACAAAAACTGTTGCAACCGTTCTGCGAGTGTACGACATTCGTTAACAAATAAGTAAGAAGTTTAAAGTTTTCCCTTTAAAACGTCTATATCACATTTTCAAATCAAATAATTTTTCGCTCTGAAAACTCAACGGAAGGACAAAATTTGAAATCGAGCGGTCGCCATTCTTCGTTTAACACAAAATATTTTGACAAAAATTAACGACAACATTAATATGGATAATGTGGTTAAACACTAAAAACTTCAAGCTTTAAAGTGCTTTTTGAACGATCTCAAAGGCATCATTATTGCGAAAGTTACAGCCTGTTGAATTTCGCTTACGTTTTATTACAATGGAAAGTACCTCTGACCAGCCCTTGAGTCATACTACTTGAGAAATGGAAAGCATGGCCGGCTCCATCGTTTAGTCATATCACGTCTTCAGTTTCTCGTTAAGTATAGTGGCGACTCGTAGCGGAGACTCTGGAACTAAATTTCAGAAATAACGGGTTTACGGAATTACGCTACGAGTCGCTACTATACTTAACGAGAAACTGAAGTCGTGATATGACTAAACGATGGAGCCGACCATACTTTCCATTTCTCAAGTAGTATGACTGTGTTTATAACAAAATTTTTACTCAGACTACTAATAAGTTGACTTCTTAACGCGTTAACATCCTTGTAATCGCGTTTAGAATACAGTTGTATTCTATGATTATGCCTATAATCTTGAGTGTTAAATTAAAAAGTCCAGTTTATGATTGAAGATAAACCGTTCTATTAAAAAAAGTAAACCAATGATAATTTAGATAAAGATTTAGGGTATAAAACATTGTTTTAAAAATATAAGCCTGCCATTCTATTGAAGTCCTAAGAAAAATGAAGAATATAGGAGTATAAAAACGTTTTGGTTCTGCAATAAAACTGAAAACACCATTGGTAGGAACAAATAAATATAAATATTAAATATGGGCTCACATTCTTAATTGAAATGATAATTATTTTTAATTCTCATGAAATAGTCGAGTTGTGACAAAAAGTGAAACCTTGCAATGGGTAAGTGCTACATATGCTGGAAAGATCATTCTCCTCGAAATTCACGGCAATTTCACAGGTAATGTATAAATCTAGAGGTATGATTAGATTTTTTAACTTGTAATATATATATTTTTAACATATTAAAATTCTTCAGCTTCGGTAAAAACTAATATATATGTTTAAGTTTTCCACAAGATGCAGAAAAGCGAGAAAAATGGTTTAATAGCATTGGTTATGTTATCAATGCTTCCAAACATGCAAGAATTTGCAGTGATCATTTTACAGAAAATGATTATTATTATTCCAGCACTGGAAGAAGGAGATTAAAGAAAACTGCAATGCCATCTGTTTTTCCAGCAAGGTGACAAAGTTTTTTTTATTAGATAAAATTATGACACTTTGAAATTATATATAAAATACATTTGGTTTAAAGAAATGTCTTTCTGTGTTTCTTGTTTCATATATAGTTTTTGTAACATAGAAGAAGACTCAACAGCTAACACTAAAAATGATAATCAGAATGAATCAGTGATAGATATTAAACATGAACATACAATGGATATTCAACATCAATCTATAAAGGATATTCAACAATCAACATTTGACACTCGACATGACAGTATTGATTCTGCTGAAGCAACACTTGTCAAGAAAAATGACACTAGTAAAAACAGGTAAGACAAAGATGAAAATAAAGAAATACTGTAATTTATTCTGATTTGTAGATATTATAAATAAACTCTTATTTCAGAAAACAATGTTCCAAAAATGATACAGAAAAGGTTTTCGTAAGGACTGGGGAATACAATATAGAATGTATGAAAAGAACGGATTTCGTTACTGATCAAAGTTGGATGAAGTTTTTAAAATATGTTAATTATAATAGATATTTGCACAAACTTTCTAGGATACAAGATTCACGCATACAAAAGAAAATTGTAACAATGCAATCTATAATACAAAAGTTAGAAAGCAAGAACGAAAAATAAGAAGTAACAAATGATGTTGTAAATTTTGTAAAAATAAGTAATTTATAATACTAATGTAAGCCTGCTAACTAAGATTTTTATGTAATTGTAAATTAAGACAATATGTAAATTGTTTCAAAATTATACTGAACACACAAATGCATGAAAATCCACAATCTAGTGTATTTCCGCGTTCTGTGTGCAGGAAGCATAAAGGAGAATTCACATCATGGTAAAAAAGCAGAAGCCTTCCTTTATTTATTAAAATGATTGGTTAAATTTCAATGCAATTTCAATCCCAATCCATAGTATGATACGGGCCTATACCAGCCTATGGCTATAATGATATTACGATATTACCTGTGGTGAAGAGTGATCATATAGTTCATGGTGAATGTTTGCACATATAGAGGCGCTTCAAAGCAAGTAAGCACGGATGGATCGCGGGCGTAGCTGTTTGTTTTAAAATCTATGGCGCGGGTAAAGTACGCTGTGCGATTGTAAGGTTAAATAATTGTTTTCCACATCAATAACACTAATAGATTAATTGAAATTATTGAAAAGATCAAGGTAAAAGGTTTCACAGGATATGGCGTCAATATTTTAATTTTTTCCTCAGCGTTCTCATTTTTACAATTGATATACGTTTCAGTATTAATGTTTCGATACCTTGTTGATAACGAAATCAAACACTATTATCGAAGACAAAATTCGACGTTTTACTTTTTATCACAGTAGGGTACTCATTCGCGTGGGTAACGAGTATTTCGTAGATAAATATTTTTTCCCACGAGCTAATTGTATTTTTGTTTCCGAGACGTGGTAATGTTAAGTATAAGTAATATTTTTCTGATAATAATTCATATCTCTTTATGCAGATCATCGCCACGTTCATGAAACAGCAAGAATGGTTACATTACAAGATTTCAGTACGGAACTTACGAGTCCAATAAAGAAGTTGGCGGACTGGAAATATCCTTTTTCAGAAGTATAATCATAGAATCGATATTTGAAATAATACAATCTTAACACATTGCATGCGGATATATTTCGCCACGGACTTACACGTGTAGCAGGCGTTTTTTCGTGAATTTCGCGGGAGTTTGGTATTCAGTAAAATATTCAATTAAACCAAGCAACTCGACAAACTAAACTTCTAAAAAGAAACAATGGAAATCGTTGCATAGCAACACAAACACCTTATACGCTTACAATGTTCAGCGTATTTATATGATACCAGCTCTCCAACACAAATCTACTAAATACATACTTTTACATGACCCGCGCTCTAGTGACAAACTGCAAAAAACGTGAAAGTACGTTTCCTGCATGCAATGTGTTAAAATATCTTTTATACTCCAAAATAACGTTTTATATTATTACAGGCTCTGGAGACATATTATTCCTTATTTAAGACCGCATCTGATAAGGACTTCGTCAAGGCTGGACTTGTCTTACAAAATTCTATGACTGTTTATGTACATAGAGTCGATTGTCTCTGGAATAAAACAACATGTATTAGAAATATATTTTTGGAGCACGAGTAAGCATTTTATTACAGTGTTTATTACAGTATAGAGCCATTTCAGAGTAATTAAACATTCAACTTATTTCTTTCCCTTTTAGGCAGGAAGAAACCGCAAGAAAAGCCATTGGGAAAAAAAGGGATAGGAGAACTAATTTAGATTTTGAAAATTTCCAAATAATCGATTTTACCCAGGAAGTGGATAGAAATATTGATATTAAAAAGAATAATGTAATGCAAGATGGTGTTAAAACAAAAAACCGTTGCTTTACACAGTTGGAGAAAAGTGTCGCGCAAAGTATTCCCATTGATATTTACGATATAAATGGAGAAATCATTGGGAAGAAGTATGATTTTCGGTAAATATCACATTATTCTCCTAGAGTGCACGTAAATGTATAGTATATCATATTAAGTCAAGTGTGTCTTGATATTTCACAGGTGCAATCAGAATATAAGTATGAATGGCGTACTGGTCGATGAATTCGTAGCTCAAGGTACGCAATTGAATTATAAAATAAATCCGGTTTGATTAGTATTTGATTAGTATTATTTCATAAAAAGTTATCTCCATTTGCAGACTTTGATCTCAACAGTGATGACCGCCTTCAAAGGAAATCCCCAGCACCAAGTTCGAATTGCTCACTTAATGAATCATTGGAATGTTCACCTAATCCTACTGTTCACGATAGTAGCGAAAAAAATATAAGTAGCGATGTAGAGTCCGAGAGGGACTACGATGACTCACCGGGGGAGGTTTCCGAATTAGTCTCTTCTTTTGACTCGAGCAAAAATCTCTCTTTATCTAGCAATTCTATGTCATTCGGTTCTTCGGCCGATAATTCTCAAGAAATCGATGCCGCTGACACTACGAATGGAAGTCAATGTACATCGCTCAGTGATACGAAATTGCCGGACAATACCGTTGACAGTACTTCGTTGTCAGATGAGAACAACTCGAACAGTTCGAACAATAATAACGGTACAAATGTGGACGGCGATCTACTGGATGGTTCAATCAAATCAATAAGTTCGCGAGAAAGGTTTCCGATTTTTTATTATTTGCAACATCGTCCTCGCTTAACGTAAGTCCGTTACATGAGTGTCGATTGTGAAACGCGTGTTGTATAAGAAGATTATTATTCTAGAATAAAAATGAGCATCGATCCGACATCGCTAGACAATACAAACGAGAGGAAGTCACCCAAAGATAAAAATAACTCACCTGCCAAGAGACATAAATATCGAGCACGCACCAAAACTACATTGAGCAAAGTATGTAATTTAGAACTTGTGGGATTTGGTTGCGAGTCTGTTCGTTTGTGTTCTCGAGTCTGTTCTCAAGTCATTCGTTTGCGTTTAGCGTAAGCAAAAACCGACCACCACGACGCCCACGAAGAAAAAACGCGTAGTGAAGAATCTCCTGGAGGAATTTGAGAAAAGGAAGCACAGCCCGCTGGGTAAGTTCATCGTGATGCGTCCTTGCAATGATTCATCACAGGTTCGTCGTCGACGCTCGCGTGTGTAAACGGCTCGTTGGAGGCGAACCCGTTTTCTAAACAGACCAAACATGTTTCGGGAGAATCTGAGCACCTGCTTAAAATACATACGAAAGTACAATCTTCCGCAATACGTTCATATGAGGAACAAGGCGTTAGATTCCTCAGAGTTCCGACGTATCTGGGAAGAATCAATGCAAACAAATAAATTCGTCGTGACCCGTTCTGAATTTGATACACCGACGTTCGCCTGCTAAACGACCCGTCGTCTTTCAGACAGACCGAGCATGTTCCAAAAGAATCTGAATACTTGCATGAAACACATACGAAAGCACGACCCACTGCGATACGATCATTTGACGAATGAGGCGTTCGACTTGTTAGGGTTCCAATTGCACGTCGAATCGCGTGACGATGCAAACAATAATATCACGATGACTTTGACCGACGACGAGATGTCTGATCTTCATAGTTCCAATTCTGCGTCCCCGGTGCACGAAAGTCCTGCGTCCCCGTGGCACGAGAGTCCACGTGACCAAGTCTTCCGGTCGGACTCGTCGAATTTCTTGCCGGTAAGTATTCCGATACGCAGAAGATCCCGGTGGAATCTATAAGAACAACTTGCGATTTCAGGAAAACATCGAAGAGTGGCACGAGTTTCTGCAACCCAAGCTGCTCGAGGCCGAGCGAAGATCGATGTTTTGCATTCGTCCTTATGCGTCGAAAATCATGAACTGCCTGCGAGCGAGCGATCGGAGAAAGATCAATTTCAGCGAGGTTATTCAGAATGAGAACGCCAAGGATGTAGCGAGATATTTCTTGGCGTCGTTGACCTTGGTGAGACACGATTTCTTCCGAGCGAACACTTTCGATTCCCGATTCAAACGCATTCTCATTGTTCACGACAGGCTTCATCACAGAACATGTATCTAAATATGAAGGATCTCGGGCACGATGTGGAGATTGTTCTGCCCCAAGAAGATAGATCAAGTTCTTTCAACGGACACCAGGCCGATTCACATGATTAACGGACGAACGGTTTTTAGGCTTAAGAGCTATATGTATGATATGGAAGCCCTATTGGGAACAAAGGACTTTTTTGCACTGTGATAATATATAATAATGTAAGCGTAAATTTGATTAATCTTTCGTCCGTGTTAGATCTTTCCTCGCGCAGCGCATCCTACGGCCTATAGTATTCATAGTCAGATTTTATACTGTACGTTTCATTGGTTACAATGCATCTGAAGATGAGCTTAAGACGGTCTTAATGTATGGGAGTCAAACTGACTTGATAGGTTTAGTGTAGTAGCGTCAATCACACTTGAGAATTTCGGTTAGAAACAGCAGTTGTTTTATTCTTCAGAGAAATCATGAGCCCACTTAAATATAAGATTTGACTATAAATACTAACGTATATGTGTATATACACCCGAATAGAATCATGTTAGTAGGCTAGATTAAAGCCTGAGTCAAAAGTGAATGTAGGCTAGATTAAATCCTGTAGCTCGTTATTAGTTCCTTATCGACTGATTATTCACTAAAATGTAGAATCGGTTTTGTGATCTGTCGCATATCAGTGGGTGATGTCTATTCTAAAATATCTAGCCGCGTATATCTGCCACTAGTACTTAAAAGTGAGGTAGCAAATCAAGATTGAAGATATGTTATTCCGTAAAAATCTTAACGAGAGAAACGAGCGTTACATCACTGCCTGACAACTCGTCATGATTCTTTATCTCACTGTAATTTCTTTTGTTTAACCTCTAATTGGGCGGATACTATGAAACTGTTGCGAATGAATTGCTCAGTTATTCTCTAGATTGTACTTTATAGGGAGTAATTAGACAATCCCGAACGAATACATGCCTTGACCATCTAGAGGAAATACGAGCGTTACATTACTGGCTGATAGCAATCTCAGGCACAAATTGATTACCTCACGGCCCGACGAACGCACAAGTTTCAATTTCTACCGGGCCATCTGCCGGAACGATGCCATCGAGAAAAACATCGACTCCCTTCGTTTCGATTCGCGCTTCACCGGCCGATCTGTAACGAGGCGTTGTTGTAACAGGGCGAGAAACTGTTGCGCCGTGAGATTGATTTTTCTGTTTTTTTTTTAATTGAGACGCGTCCCATTAACACCGGTACTCGTCGTCGTCGTTGGCCGCACGGTACATTGACGGCGAAACAAAACGTATTCACAAACGTCGGGACCGGCGCGCTTGTGCGCACACACCGCCGCGCGACGAGAGCACACACGTGCGTATGACAATTGGCCGTGTGTAAGACAGAAATGCTCACGCATGCGTCGCGAGCCGACGGCACCCGGCTCTCGCAGTTTATATTAGTTTACATTAGGACAGGCACCGCAAACCATAGGCCGCTATAAATTGTGTTTTCGTTAACACATCACTCTCGCGCATCTTTATCGCTGGCGTCACGCGCGAAATTAAATCACCATCGCGCGCGCGTCTCCTTTTTATATATTACGCCGATGCCGAGTGGGACGTTAGTTTGAAGAAAGGAAGAAGGAGAGCGAATTAAAAATTACGATGCGATCGGGCAAGTGAGAACGGGACGAGAAGGCGGCGGAAGAGGCTGGGAAAACTCCAAGGGCGCGGACAGAAGCTTTAATATAGAGAGTCAATTCGAGTTGATGGTAAGCAATCAGACAGCACGGATCTTCTCTCCCCCGATCTCTCATATTCAATTGAAATAGTTACGTTCCGCGTCTTACCCGTCCGTTGAGTGCCATCGTTTACGTCAATCGCTCCATCGCCGGCTACGCGCGCAATTGTTATCGATTAATAATTCAGGCGAGCGATACGATTTAAGTCCGAAGAGCGGAAACGCACGCCTCGAAACTCGGACCGCGCGTATCTCCGATTTTTTCCCCTTTCTTCCTCGATTAGAGGACACAATTTAAACGGCCGTCTCTTGCGCAGGGATAAAACACACGGCGACATGAACAGCAAGAGTGCATTACTGGTGCAACGTTGGATGCTCCAACCGCGCGTGCTGCTCGCTCTCATTTCGCTGCAATTTATCATTCAGTTTTTCACGTCCGTCTATCTGTATAAGTACGTCACGAACGTGGAAAGCGATCTTCGCGTGGTAAAAAGCCGCCACCCGTTCGAGACGATCCCGCGACGAAAACGCAGCAGCGCATTACCAATCGCCGAGGACAACGCTGTCTCCGATTTATCCAGCAGGGTATGTAAACGAGAAAAAGAAAAGAAAAACACGAGAGGGGGACTACTCGAATCTAACGCCGGAAAACCGAACTAAAAAAAAGACGGAAATGAATTTCGAATTTCGTGGGAATCGGAGGAAATCTATTCCGCGCGATCGAAATTTCCGACAGGAGGTTTCACGATCTTACATTTTTTCCCGTTCTTCCGCGGAGAAGAGAGAAAGAGGGATGGGAGGGAGAAAAGCCGAGAAGGCGTCCCGTGCAGATTATGAAATTTTACGCAAGATAAACGAGAGATGTATCAAGGGAGGAAGTTGTTTCAATTTTGTGCTCGAGGGAGATTTCATTTCTCGATTCTCCCTTGCGGTTTCTTCTAATGCCGACGACTCAGTCACCCAAGACTTTTGATCTCCTAAATCTCTCGCCGTTAACGCTAATCTCGAATCGCGCCGGCCGCTCGGTCGCAGATCCGAGAGGATAAGGAGATGCAGGGCACAAAGAAGGTGACTGCATCCCCCATCATGGTGTCCGGTTCGTCGCCTACGGTGACCGGAGGTCAAGACTGGGTCTGGTTGAACGCCGACACGCGTATACAGGTGGGTACATCCTCTGCGAACGTTATTATTATTATTTTCGCGTTAGGTCCTCTTTAACATCGTTCTCCGATTCGTCGAGTTTGATGTTCTTCGACGAGCTTCCATGTAGGAAGTGCGCCTACGTAGGACATCGTATATGTACGTACGCGCGCGCGCGTATGTATTGCAGATAGGTATTGAATATTCTTGAAACCCATCATTGTCGAAGTTATGTAAAGACGAATTCGTACAAACGTAAGGATGAAATGAAGAAAAACGTCGCCGATTTCTGCCGTTCGAAGGCAAAGTTCAAGTGCAAGATGAGGAAGAAGACGAGCTAAGATTGATTGTATAAACGGAAAAGAATTCAACTCGTTAGTTATTAGAGTTCATCTGTTTCCAAAGATTCCCGTGTAATTTTTTTGTTTTATATCTACACAGAACATTAATCTCCCCTCCACTTTCGCTTTGGACATTCCGGGCGCATTGTATTTACGCTGAGAAAAATATTTAAAGGAACATATTATTATATTGCGAGAAAAAGCAATTATTCAGTTCTTTTTTCTTTTAAGTAATGGCTATCTTTTTGAAAACGAAGAATATTTTCTTGACAATACGATTTCTTTATTATATATATAATCCTGTATTATCACTTCATAATAATATATTTTATGTGTGGACAAATTTCATATACATGACCTTATATATAATTATATATAATTATGTGTATTCACACATCTAATTATATATAATTATATAGAAATAACTTTTTAACATGGTATTCAACATTTCTGTCTATCTGGATAGTAATGGACGTACTAAATATAATAATTTAAATAATTAATAATAATTTAAGATCACGTCACTCCCCGAGCAGTTTAAAAATCCTATGAATAATTTACCCGTGATTTGAAAGTTCTCGAATTCGTTTGTCGTCACTTATGTCATTACGCAAACGGAGAGAAATTCACCGCTAAGTAAGCGTCGAGAATATCCGCAGGTAAACGATCGTCCGACCTTCGCAATACTTGGTATACTTGCGTTGCATTTCAGTTCGATGCGATTGAGAACTTCTGTCGATCGTCCTCAAAGTACTGTCCGCCTGGGCTGCCTGGAGCACCCGGAAATCCAGGCCCGCCGGGCGAGCCGGGATTACCAGGTGCCCAAGGAATGATGGGGCCAAAAGGACCACCGGGAGCAGCCGGGCACCCAGGTGTCAGAGGACCGAAGGGCGACATAGGTCCACCAGGTTTCGACGGAAGGGACGGTATACCCGGTGAGCCCGGGTTAGATGGTATACCCGGTAGAAGCGGCCTGGACGGTGTACCCGGCAGCAATGGCAAGCCGGGTGTCAACGGGTCGCCCGGATTGCCTGGGAGAAATGGGACAGATGGTATGTTCGAGCTACCCTGGTAGAAATTCAACTAGACACGAGGTAGTCAATTTCCATCTAACCTTACTATTACTATTACCAAATAATTTCTCCCAGTGGCTGGATAAATAAGTTAACTGATAGTCATAAAGAAATTACGAAATAAAAAACTATTTGCCCAACAGTAACGTTCATTTTTGTTTCATTTCTTTTTAATTTTTAGAAAATAACGTATATTCGATTTATTATTTTATTTTTAAATGCTAATAGCGGATACATAATAGCTGGATTATATATTTTAAAATCAACGGCGCCATCATATTTGACATATAACAGTTAGATAGATCACGTAACCGACTCTACGTTTTACGTAGAGCTCGACCGATAAAAAACTGTCTCATATATAATTATATATAAATATGTATGGAAAATTTTTCCCCGAGGAATGATCGGCGAATTACGTACAACGAATTAAACACATACACATATAACTCACGCTCGAGCAATCAATAGCTATGATCTACTCTGTGATAACTAGTCATTAGCTGTTAACTCAATAATGAATGCAATTCTACTTGGGTACACTCAGCGAACGTGTGGAGTAATCGAAGTCTCGATAAGAAGGACGCGGAAAGTGAAGGGAAGCAAAAAATATTACATAAGCAACAAGTTCACTGTCGTGCGAGGTTTCTTGCTCGGAGGATTAAATTTGCCTTCAAATGTCAAACAACAAAGTCGTAATATTTGAGAAATATAGAAAACGCGTTTGATTGGTATTTTCCTCCCGACAATCACAAACGTGAAGTAAAATCAAGCGCAGCTTATAGAACGATAAATTAGAAACTGCGATTTTTCGGATTTTATGTTCTTGTGACGCGTAAGTTCCATCAGTTCGCGAGCTATATTGCATTCATTTCGTATTTATTCAGGAAGACCCGGTCAAATGGGGCCTCAAGGACCACCAGGACAACGAGGTAAGAATACGATTCTCTCTCTCTCTCTCTCTCTCTCTCTCTCTCTCCCCCTCTCTCTCTCTCTCTATCTTTCCCCTCTTCTCTCCAGCCGTTTCTACATCAAACGAACATTTCAGGAGAACAAGGTCAATCCGGTCATACAGGACCGCCGGGGAGAGATGGCAAGCCAGGTATACAAACCTGGAAGGTGAACATGAATGATTACAACCTGAATGACATATTAATCCCGCCATCCATAGTGGGTAAGAATTTGTTGATTTAATCCAGGCTGACCTCTCACATAACTCGCGATCGAGCAATCAATGCCAAAACTACGACAAATAAAAAACAATTCCGTTGGTGTAACTAAATTTTTCGTTGCCTGGAAAGAGTACAGGTTGAAAAAGTCAGTTGCAAAAAGAGCGTAAGAGATTTCAATCAATTGTTTTTCCGTTATCTCAACAGAATTTTAAGGTAGTTGACTTGTAAATTTATTTTCTCCGGGCATTTTTTTAAAGATAGAATAATTCAATAACTCAAATCAATACGTAAAAATGCGAAAAACGTAGAAAAATACGGAAAAATCCAACGTCACGATAATTTCTCTAGTAACATGCATTCGGATGTGCACAGTCTATCCAATAGCATCCCGATTCTGTAACTTTTAACGAGGTGTCGTTATCGTTACGATGTCATTGCAGCTTTTCTGTCATATGTTATACCTGCGCAACGTAACGATAACAATACTGTCGTCAACAGTTACAGAATCAGGCGGTAAACAAAAAGAAAAAAATACAAGACATTTGTATGCATTTTTATATAGTATGAGAGATCATGTTACGTCAATATATAAACACGTGCTGAGCGACATCATTTTTCTCTCCGAGCATATCTCCTCTAAAGTCTCCGACGATCGATTTAATCGACTCTCCCGCGTCCGGCATTTGTATTCCCTATGTGAGGGATTTCCGTAAGGAAGTTGTCTTGGAAAATGGGGCATTTCAGAAATTACACCGCCATTGAACGGAAGCGACGTATTTTCCGTGCAAGAAGGCAGCAATATACGGCTGAAATGCGACTCAAGCGGGAAACCACAGCCTGTTATACAGTGGACGAAAATAGACGGTTCCGTTATACCGATGGGTGCCTGGCATGGTATAAATAGGTTTTTCTTTAATTCGCGTCGAAAAAATAGCTAACAGCGATACTAATGATTCTTGATGTAAATCACGACTTAGTGAGTTCTGTCACGAGCCAAACGTTCAATATCAGCGTGGTGAACCGGGATCATATGGGCGAATATGTGTGCAACGCCGATAACGGGGTACCGCCAGCGAAGTCCAAGAGATTCCGGCTTCAAGTCAGATGTAAGCACGTTTCGATTGAGAGACAAGTCTCGCTTCTCTCTATGGGAAAAGTCTTTTAAATACTTGGAAAAAATCCGGATTTTTTTTTTCCCTATTTTTTTTCAATTTCTCCCGGCGGATGAATGAAAACAATTGGGAAAAAACTAAAGTTTTCAACTTTTCCGCAGATGTTTTCAGTTTCTTTCCGAGCAAAAATTGGAAAAGGCGATTTTTTAACTATAAGTTTAAATATCTATAGAGAGAAATATCTATATGAGAGAAAATATCTAAATAAAAAAATATTTCTCCATAATATTATTTTTTTTAATTATTCTCTCTACACAAAAAAGAATTAGTATCAATTCAAAACTCATATTTTCATATATTCTTATAAAACTATATGTATATATATATGTGTGTGTATATACATGACGTACGGAGATGAGTGGTTCACAGGTTCCGACGTTATTGCAGTTATACTGAAAGAACTAATCTGAAACTCGAAATGTCGGATATAGGTGAAATTGATAATCGATCGTGTTCCAGTTCCACCTTTTATTCGCATACGCAACCAGATGATTCTCGTACGAAACCAAAATCCGGCGACGTTAGAATGCGAAGTGGAAGCCTTTCCCGAGCCCGCCGTTCACTGGGAGCGCGGTGACGGTCGTCGTTTGAAAATGTCGGAAAAATACAGGATGGAGGTTTACGATAGACGCGATATATACAAGGTAATTCATTTGATCCACGGACTCTTTTATTGAATCTGCGCGCCTTGTATTATTTGCGATGCGATCTTCCGCAATTTCTCACGCGGAAGAAAATATTTTGCCGGCAAATCTCTTTTTGCCGTCCGTATAGTAACTGAAAAATGTTCTGCGCCAGCAAAATAAAAAAATATTCTTTTCCGCGTCATTATTGTAAAGAGAGAAAGTCGGCTTTTTGTAACGAAGAAAACCTGAATAATTTCCAAAATAATTGATTGCAACGAATTCGTTGGTAATGAATAATACTTCGTATTGTCCTGTTTTCAAAAGTTGAAGATGAGGCTGAGAATCATGAGGGTGACATCGTCAGATCACGGAACTTATCACTGCGTGGCGAAAAACGAGATCGACATTACCAAGGGATCCTTTATAGTAGACGGTTTGTCTTATTCCATATTATTACTCGCCAAGAGATCTCAAAGATTCACCGTGGAGCTTGCTGATTACTAACAGCACGAAGGAAGAATTGCGAAAACGAATCTCGCGTTCTTCCGTTTGACATCGAGTTAGACGATTCTTCTTATTCTTCGCGCTTTACCGCGCGTCATTTCCAGACGGCTTAAGGACGCTTAAGAAGGTTCGCCCGCTAAGTGCCGCATTTTCAGTGGCGCATCCTTTCATAAATTTACCATTTATCAAGCCAAAATTTCCACATATTTCCACGTTTTTATACATTTACCTTACATTCAGTCAAACGCTCGAACCTCCTTAAAAGTAGCTTGAGAGTAAAAAAACAGGAGAGTGAAGCCTGTCCATTCCCCCTGGTGCAATTCCGAAGATTTTCCGAGATCTAATTTCGTAATTTAACTTTCCGAGGATCCCCTTGGACATCGTTCCTTTCAATAATAATGCGCAATTTCCGAATGAATAAACGCGCAGACGACACTAAGAACATGGAGAGACTGAAGTTGGGGAACAAGCAACACGTTACGTACGGCGACCCCATGCCTCCGAGCGTTGATCAGGAGGAATTATGTAGTCCGCAAGAAACCTGTGCAGCGTGCCCGGTGCTAAAGTGCACGTATACAGATATATCGAATAATCTACACGTCCAACCGTTGCGAGGTATTAACTTCACCGGGCTGCCGTCGCCTCTAGTCGGTAGGTTTAATCAATTTTGACCAACATATTCTTGCTATAAGAAGAAAAAACCAAGTCGGATAATTAATTCCTAGGCAATAGGAATGTAAACGCGCGCCGAACTTTCATGTCGCGATTCCAACGACGTTTGAACATTTTCATCGACAACTACGGTAGCGTGTGTACGGTATTTTTCGGAGATGATTTCGACAATTAAAATAGCGCACCTTTCACCGATAATTAAATCTGGACTTTTGGCAACGAATCAATTTGCATACCTAATATTTCATAGATTTTTTTAACTCTCTTCCCTCTCTCGTCATCTTACAAATGCGATACTTTTATGAACGTACGCGAGATGAGAGGGAGGAAGGGAGAGGTCAAGTGTAGCACGTTAATGAACGAAAAGTGAGGCGTCACGAAGCCGCGGAAATTTTGTGTAATTAGCGAACTAACGCACTCACCGGATACGAGTATCTGTGATATCACGAGTGAAAAACGAAACTTCTCCACGTCAACACTCCAGCGGGACTTGAAAGTTCATAACTGACGTCGATAAATTCTCAGAGGGTATGATAGAAGCCGTGGGAAAGCCTGTGCTGAAAGGAAGCATGGACGACTATTACGGAAGTTGGATGCACGACGCGTACTTCCGCCACGACGGCACGTCCGATAGGCTCTGGGTTACTCGCAAGAACGACACGTCCAATATCTTTGAGTACAGATCGAAGGAATTCTTCAAGAATGATACGGCTCGCTCCATCAAATTGCCCTATCCCTTCCAGGTCGGAATTCTAATTGCTAGATAATTGCATGGAAAAACATCAATTTAAGACAAATATTCTCATATATAACGAGAATCTCATATGAAGGCAGAGAGTTTGGCTTGATATCATTTGAAGATATAGGTCGGCTAAAAATATCATATTTTTGTTATTCAAGAATAATTTTCATGAATTGAGAGGGAAAAATATTGGATGGAAAAATGTCTTCAAGTCAAGAATTGTTCTAGTTTGAAGATATTCCTATATTCCTATCCGATCTCAGGAAAAAATTTGCCATATATTATTAGATATAATTATATATAAAGCGTTATATATGTGTGTCCGTATATAAAAATATACAAGTCGATAGAATATCATTATAACGATTTATTAACGATTACTGATAACGATTCTTTTCTGCGCGTCGAGATAGAAAGAGAATGAGATTGCAACATTATAATAAGATGATAAAAATGAGTTGACGTCTATTACAGAATGACTTTGATATTTATTTAGGCTAATCAAATCGAATCTTGTGAATGAAACTCTTGTGAATGAAACTCGCGTTCTTTCTTCAGGGCAACGGACATATAGTTTATAACAAGTCTTTCTTTTACAATCCGATAAATCGATCGACGGTCTTCCGCTTCGATCTTTATTCGTCTTCGGATCACGGATGCGACCGAGAATCCGACTGCGAGATGCAGCTCCCGGGCTTGCTGCTGAACACACAGAATCTCCTCTACACGCCGTACCACAATTTTAATTATGTGGATTTCAACGTGGACGAGAACGGTGAGCCGACAAGCAGCGTACCATGATTTCAATTTCGAATTCTCGCGTGGAATATTAAAAATTGGATATAGAGCGAGGCTCAAATTCAATCAAGTATTATTGAATTAAGGGCGATGAAGCGAAAAGATCTATAAAACAGAATATACACGATACGTTTACGCAGGTTTATGGGTCATTTACGGGCTACCGTCCAATAATACTGTCGTGGTGAAAATGGACCCCGCGAGAATGGCTATTCAATACGCATGGAACATCAGTATTGACCATCACAGATTCGGAGAGATGTTCATCGCAGGAGGAGTGCTTTACGCTGTACATAGTGTCATCGAGGAGACTATGAAAATAACGTAACGCAGAAACGCGGATTACTAGGACTATCCATAGAATAAACGCGAGTATCCAATGGTTACCTTTCATGAATATCATTGACAATTTCCCCCGATGTTTCTATATCCGTATTTATCAGTCGTGCAAAAATGCTCTCTAAATTTCTCCGAGCGAAATCGAACGAGTGAAAATTCACTCGAAGCAAAAATACCGCCGGATCACAAGAGTGAGCTCCATAAGGAACTAAACAAGTATTTCTTTTTTACTCTTTTTACTTTATTCAGTTGATTAAAGCGAATTTGTTCCGGTGGAGCACACGGGATTTGCCCGACGAGCGAAGGATTCGCCGAATATAATTCCACTCGAGCAAAATTTCGCTCGAAGGAATTTTCTAGTAATATGTTGTTAATTCGAATATTTGAGCGGCATCCATGAATATTCGTTGGATACTTGTGCGCATTCGTGCCGCTTTCGGCATAATCGTTATTTCCAATTCGGGCCCTTAGGTTCGCCTTCGATCTGTACCGTAACACAACGTTGGAAGTGCAGCTGTCGTTCACGAATCCGTATCACAAGACCACGGCCGTTAGCTATAATCATAAAACCAAGGTACGTGCTACGGCGGTTTTCACCGTGCGCCTCGTCGTCGTTTCACTCGGCAACTTATTTCTTTCCGTTTCAGGAGCTCTACACGTGGAATAAGGGCAACCAATTAGCCTACCCTGTGAAATATCGCGACGACATGAAGGACGTAGTGGGTGGCAACTAAAAAAATTGTCTTCGCCGGTATACGTATACTGATGAAAATATATGTACAAGCGAGTTGAGCAACCCAAAGTCGAGTGGCCAATTGAGCAACTTCGACTTCGTGTAACTTCGTGTAACGAAGTCGAAGTCGGTACATTTCCAAATCCCCTCGCCAGAAGACGAGCGTCTTTGTCGCGCACATGTATCGAACGTATCGACAGTATGTTTTATATGTGCAATAAATTATTGAAAGTGTTGCCACCATTTATAAACACGCAGTATAACGATTGAACAGGATCGATGAGAGGCACGACGATTCATCGAATTCTACAAATTATAATCGAGTCTATGTGAAAAGAATAAATGCATCGATGAAAGCGACCACTCAATGTATATCTGTGTCTATAATCGCCGGATTCCAGAAATGTAGATAAAACTTTAACCGATTGATAAAAGCGAACAAACGAATTTAGTATGTGATAGATCTCTAACCCAGTCTCACAGTACATCATGAGATTTTCGATACGAAATCGTAATTATAGAAACGATGAATATGAATGACAGATAAAAACATTTCCATGTATGCTCAATATGACTTAAGCTATTTTCGTGTGGACTAGGTCAACATGCTTGCTGACGTAATTAGCCACAGAGAGAGAGAGAGAGAGAGAGGGAGGGAGAGGAAAAAGACTCGATATGACCTGACTTACTTGGCTCACATTGAGTCTCCTTACAAGAAAGAGATTGTTCTGGATTCTCAAGAAGAAACATAAGCGAAAATTATCGTAATAGCAATAAAATGTTTATACAGTTTAAGAACGGTCTAAATATACCAATTAATAGATATAGTGACGAATTCAATAACAAGCTCTGGTTGATTATTTATAAGAGGCAACTCATCGGTGGTTGCGCTCAAACGAAACAGTTTAATGATTTAATTATTCAGCAATAAATATAGCATAAATATAACGATTTCAAAGACTGCAAGAAAACTAGTGCACTCGTCAGATAAGTTGCAACAGTTGGGATCCATAAGTCTTGAACCGGAGGAGATTAAATAATTCTAAAAGTATCGTGTGTGTGAGGTTGGATCATTCTTTTATACACCACTACAATTTTATAATGTATTCTCAGAATATTCGAGATATGTGCCGAATATACGAAGAATATACTGAGAATATCGTATCCTAAGCTTCTGAGGACATCCTGAGGATATCCCAAAAATAAACGAGATATGATATACCATGAGAGAGATGTTACAAATGGTCTGCGATTAGAATGTCTCGTGAACTCCGTTCTATTCCGTTGATAGTAGATAAATTTAGTTTATACGTAATAGGGGGCTGTGGATTTCGCACAGGGATATAAGGAGATATACGTAGCAATGGGAAAGTCGAGTGGAATAGAAAGTCCAGAAGTAGTGGCATTATCGTATTATAAAAACTCACGTGACCAGTTTCTCTCTCCCTCTCTGTACGCATACTGTTGGAGTGGGTAACATTGATCTTTTGTAAAAGAAGAAAGGAAGAAGGTGGCAGAAAAGGATTCGTTGTTGAGTCTCGATTATGGGATCTACCGTCAGCACTCTGGGGTACGTAGAACAACAAACAATGCGAAGCAGCGATTATTGCTCCCGACGCTCGATTTGTTCGTCATTTAAGACGTGACTTTCACATCGTCATATCGCTTAATCCACAAATCGCTCGCGCCAAAATTATACCGGTGACGATCATGCATATGTAATCGTGGCGACTACGAATTTCGATGTTACAAGCGCGCGGAAATGAGTGCTCGCGTTCGTTCGGGTCAGTGGATTCGCACACGTTTCTTCTTATTGCTGTAATAGAACTCTCTCTCTCCCTTTCTGGAGAAAATATTGTTGGTAAAAATTACCACAAAATGTCGTATAGAGTGTTGGGCCATCTTAAGTCAGTGAAAATGTCAACTAATTGAATCAGTGGAAACAGTATTTTACCGATAATCAGTGAGTATTAGTTAATTTTTAATGGAAACTCTTAGCTCTTTCGCCTGACACTTCATTGATCTTAGCCATTGAAAGATTCACTGCAAATCGCTGCTATTGCAAATCAACTGTCATTATTCAATTGCGATGTCGGCCCACACAAGTTAGTCGACTTTTGCTTGGTACCGGAGATACCAGAAAGCAACACGTCGCCAGCTGCCAGCATTTTGCCAGCTGCATAGGCATATGTTGAGATGCTTACGAAAAGCCACTATCTGACGTCTCGACATCAACACGGTGAATCAACTCTTGTCCAACATTGGGCTTGATGTCAGTGATTAGTGTCGACGTGTTCTTATTACTTGGATATTGTGCTAATATTGAGCGGACACTGGGCCGATATTACTCCAATCGTACGCGGTATGTGTATACAACATTAAAGCATAATTACAACATACATTACGTGGTAACATTCGGTTCTTATAGATTCTTATAGATAGTTTCTTACAGATTCTGTAATCATTAATATTCCTGACCGCTTGAAAACCTCCAGGATAAATCGATCTCAACCTGTTGATATTCCGTCGATTTGAAGACGTACAATCCATTCAATTTTAATATGGCACATTTCGTCACTGACTATACAAATGCGAAAAGAATTAATGCACTGAGAAACCCATTTTTAGTTGAATCGACGAAATTTTTATTTGAATATGGGTAAATAAAAATATTGGTTAATTCATATTCAAACGAGAATTTTATTGATTCAACCAAATGGGTTCCTCAATGAGCGTTGTCGAAGTCAAGAACACATCAAGAACATTGTAAATATGCAAAAGTGCTGCATCGCGTCGGTGATGATTGATAGTAGCTAACGTTATTCCTAAGTATAAAAGGGAATATACATATATTACATTGTGTGCCTGTCGAGCGGATAATCGTCTTTTATTCATCGCCGTTAATAATCGTCTCTCCGTGGGGGTGCGCGCTTTATGAGAAACGAATGGATTAAAATGCATGGAGAATGAATTACAATTGCGCAATGCAGTGAAATATATTAAGCGGAAGTAATTTATTTCCCTCTTAAAATCGGGAGTTGTCTTTCGGTGCCTCTCGATTGCTTCTTATATTCTATTTTTAGTGTAGCGATGTAAATCGACACGTCGAACATTAAATAATTCATTCTAACAAAAATTATATGTTACGTAATACCATCATTTTTCTTCTATCAGAGTGAATCATTTCTAACTTGACTCTTACGTTAGGAAAATGTCACTTGTTTTGTCACTTTGTTTGTCACGTTTCCAACAAGTAGATAAAACGAATTTAAGCGATTATGTAAAACCAGTTTTCATTATTAATTCACCGACAACTGAAACGTTAGGAAATTCTTCGAAATAAGTTTCTACGTATTCTCCATTTAGTTCGCAATTTCTCACAATCCATTTACACATCACGCGACTTTTATATATTTATGCTACAAGAGCACGTAAATTCATCGGGATTAGATGCGGATATACATGCGTTACGAGCATCTCAACGTTATAATCCATGGTATAATGAACTATTTCCGTCCGAAAACGTCTTCCTGAATATACGTGTGGACACTAAAGGATATGTTGTTGATGCTTTGCGTGAAACACGGAATTTTGCCGATGGCAAGGTGATCATCGTTAAATCATCGTTTGCGCAGAAAAAGATGACTATGTTATTTTGCGAACAATACTACAACTATTCATTGTACGTGAGATAAATGATTTCACGTTCAATTGTACCCAGCGAATGAGCGATTCCTCCTTGCATCTGTTACATAAGGTCGCAGAGGTCGATTAGGCTCATTAGATCGTACATTCTGCCGCTACGTAGATCCTCTGCTACTGAAATCATACGTATTTTCTGCCACGCATTCATTTATAAGGTTATCCAAACGGCAGCGAATACGTCTTCCGTTTTTACTTTCCTCCGAAAGCGGCTTTTAATGAAACATCTTAATAAAACAACATCATTGGATTTATATTCCCCGATTATTAATTAGACTTAATTAAATAATAAAGTTAACTTTAAATTAATTAAAAATTATTGAAATTAAATTTAAGTGTTCCACACCAATAAGCAAAAAAATGAAATTTTTGTCGAAAAAGTCATGCTTAAGAAACTTACTAATACTGTACAAGATGTTCGATTGCATTTTCGACATGCATTTTCATGATTTAGGAACTTTAAGACGAATTCAACTTAAATCTGTAGCTTTGCAGGAAAGCAATCGTTTATTCCATGTTAAAATCAAAGATTAGATTTAAATAAATATGTTATTAGCTTATCTATCGAATAAATGTTTCTTAAATAGTTTTTCTCTCAATGTACATTTCGGTACAAATCTAAATAAACTCGAGCCAACATTCAATCTCCGAAATCTAGACGTTGCTTTGCAGATTATCCGTCGGGTTTTCATTAAAGAAAATCGACGCGCGGATTTGTCAAGCAAAGAAAAAATTTACTTCCTCTAAAGTACTTTCGTTCGCGAGCTTTAGCGTGTATGTTATCGCATACTTCACGAAACTTAATCACGTTGAAAAAAAAATAATGGGAAATCTACCATGGAAAACTGTGATTAAAATTTAATAAAATAGCATTAGGTAACTCCGATGCCAACTCATGACGCATGAGTCAACGAACATTCTATATGTTCTCTTGCGTGCGCCGCTAGAAAACTCTGCTTGTCAGTTCTTGTACAAAACCGACACGTATCGGCAAGAATAGATGCGACCGTCCCGATAATCAAGCGCGAAGTGCCGAGTGCAGTACGATCCGAGTTGGATCTGTAGTTGTAGACAACAATTTATTCTTTCACGCTTACCAACAATATAAAGTGATATTTGAGGCTTTCGTAGTGCGGAGAAAACGCTTGATTTGATTTTTGGCTTGGTGCAACATCCGTGGTTTTCTTCCCGGTGTATCATTTCACTTCACTTGTTCAGGGAGAAGAAACGTCTCTAAAATTGTTTCAGGTGAGATGAGAAAAACACTTCTGAGCAGTGATCATGTATATATTATACATATGTGGACACATATATACATAATTTTTACGCCTACGGCAGAAACATGAAAAGTAAACATTTTCAAATGCTGTCAAATTAGAAAATTTCCACTTTTCATAAGTTCATGCTAGGAGAAAAGATTCACGATCGACCGCCAGGAGGTCATGATACTTCCAGCATGAACTCGTGAAAAGCGAAAATTTTTTAATTTAAAAGCAAACGCTCACTCTTCACTTTTCCGCCCTAAAGAAGAATTACGTAATATCTGTCCTGCTTCTCTTCTTAAAGAAGTGAACTGAGATTCTTACAAAACATCGAGGATAAGTCCGCAAAAAACGTAGCACGAATCCCGAAGCTATATAATTCTTTTTACACATGGATATATTCATTATGTTACATATAAAATTATATGTAATATATGTATTATATAAGAAATTTTTCTTTCCCGGGTTATCCTTGATATAAAATATAGTAAAAATTTGCACGGTAAACAAATTATCACGTTTGCATATTACTATTTTCAAAAGGCGTATTTATACCTTATAAGGCGTGTTTTGAGGGACGGAGGATATCAGTACAAGGACAAAGTTGACAAACGACAAAGTTAACAGCGATGAAGTAAGTTTATGTTAATAACTAAAAAAAAAATGTCATTAATTAAAAATTTCTGCAAACATGCGTCGACCATATTATAGATGCACCATTAATTATCCAAAATTAGTAAGGATGTTGATACACTGAAAGAAAAAAAATGCTACATCTAGATAAATAATTACAACAAAATTTCGTTCTAAATTTGCGAGATCCGCGCAATAAGCTGAATTTATTAACTTATTTATCATCAATGTTACGCCGTCTATCTCTCGGAACACGGAAACATTTTCGGAGATTTCGATCAGCATTTTTACGGTGTCAATGATAATAAAAGGTTTGACAAGACAGAGAACGAAACGCGAATGCGCAATCTTGCATCGAAAGAAACTAAAATTAGCTGTTCAATGTAACGGTCATAAATAAAGCATGAGAAAGAATAATTGATGCGAATCGTTTCTGACTCGAAACAAGATTTTATTGCGTTTAACGATATATGAGATATCGCGCGAGATATGAAGAAAACTTGAAAGTAGATTATGGAAAATCAGATTATGGAAGTTCTTTTATAACTGAGTATTCCGTCCATTTAACTTGCTTCATCAGTTATTGGCTTCATCCAGCTCGCGTTCTGTTTCAGGGATGGCAAAGCATCCGTCGAATTTACGATCAATGGGGAACCGCATGTGGGTATGTATTTCCTTTAGAGTGCAATTTATAAACGGTGACTTTGAGTCGGTGTACGTAGAGAATGAGAGTATGCAGGGCAAACACGGTTTTCTTGCGTAATAGAACCTTGGGCAATCAATTGACTCGAAAGGCAATTGATCCGGTCGTTACGGTGATAAAATAATCTTTGGTCAAATTCCAATCGTCGCGTGACGAACGGGAAAAGTAGGTGGAAAAACACAAGGCGGCGATACGTATTATTACGATATTACGATCGAAACTCGCTTTCAGTGGTCGGAAACATACCGGTCAACACATCTCTCAATGTCTACATTCGCGAATATGCGAAACTGCGCGGCACAAAGGCGATGTGTCACGAAGGTGGCTGTGGTGCCTGCATCGTGGCCGCGGAAATCAACGGCGAGACAATGGCCGTGAATTCCTGCCTCATACCGGTACTGATCTGTGACGGGTTCGTATCGCAATGAGCTGACCAGTGATTTATTTCATACAATACCCTCTTATCTTTGACAACGAGATCATTCACAGAGTCTCTTTATTATCTTTCCGCGCCTATCTATTTCTTCCCACAGACGAGAATCTGTGGGAATAAACTCCTATTCTGTTACTTGACGAAATTTACCATTATTTAATAAACCTGCTCCGTTAATCATCATTAATGCTTCGAGATATGAGAATTCAAACGAGATTCCCTCCCCTCGAAAAATGATCGCGGGTGTTTCCCACCATCTGCCAGAATTCTCTGATCGATATTGTATCGATCGCGTTATCAGGAAGTTCTGTATCAATGGTCTTGCAGGCCCGCTCGAGTTTCTATGCACCTGTTTCTATAACAAATATTTTCATAGATGGGCGATTCACACGATCGAAGGCTTAGGAAACAAGAAACAAGGTTATCACACGATTCAGGCTACACTCGCTGAGAAGAATGGCACGCAATGTGGCTATTGTTCTCCCGGAATGGTGATGAACATGTACAGGTATACGCGATTAAAATTCACCGAGTGTGTAGAATACATAAGAGTTCTTTGGTAAAACATAATAGCGTTATACGTGATAGTTCTCGAAACATTCATTTCATAACCGGCAGGTTATCCGAGCAGTTTACAGTTCCTTGAAAAAGTCGAGTCAAATTTAAAATTCGGTTAAAATCCGCTTGAAATGAATCGGAAAAAACAATTAACAAGAGATAATTTTGTCGTTCGTGCATATACCCGAAGCTTAATTCACGGAAAATTTCCCAGTCGCTTCTACCTCGGAAACTATTGAGGAAAAGTTAACTTCAAATTGCTCAAAGAACCTCTCGATAAAATTCATAATGTCGGACACCCTGTATGTAAAATCTTCCCGATATACTCGACATTATGACAGATATTCCTTTAGACAGAATATGACGCGTATTGATCGACGGGAATGAATATGTGTAAAAAATACGATCATATTTTTAATTAAATTTTTAAAGATATGTTGCCGCGTATAAAATCCATAATAACTTTCTTGTTTATCGCATCCTTCAGCCTCCTGAAGGACAAGAAATTGACGATGCTGGAAATTGAAAATTCGTTCGGCAGTAATATATGTCGATGCACCGGTTATCGACCGATTTTAGAAGCGTTTAAAGGATTCGCCAGCGATGCACCGTCGGCTATGAAGAAGGAAATCCGCGACATCGAGGTGAATATCGCATGCCAAATTTTGCTCGAAATTTACGAGAATTTTATCGTGCTTTTACAATTTCCAACTTGCTAAAGTTCCATCTCGCGTTATCAGGAAGTTCTGTATCAATGGTCTTGCAGGCCTAATGGAGATTATTGTCACGTTAATTTACGTATTCTTGTAAATTTTTACCACATAAAGACGATATTCCCGCAGGATCTGTACAACATCAAGGCCTGCGCGAAAGGGGCTTGCCGTGGTATTTGTCACGATTTGTTGTGTGAGCGCAAAAGCGCGCATAAAGGGCTCAAGATCAGCAGGATGTTGGATATCAAACTGGAGGATGCGGAGTTTTTCAAAGTTTACTCAATAGAGGATCTCTTCGCGATATTTCAGCAGAAACCGAACGCCACATATATGTTGCACGGCAGCAACACCGCTCACGGTAATTGCTTTTAGAGAAACGTTTCTTTCGTTCGTATCAATGAGACATTCATGCGAAAAAGTCAATCTGTAACATTAGAACGAAAAAGTAGTATCATTAATGCTCGAGCAAACATGTTTTGCACAACGTCTCTTTTGCGTTAGCGGCGATTTCCAACTTGTCAACAGACCTAAACGAATTAATAATAAAACCGAGTCCAATATTTTTCACGGCAACTGAAAATCTGTAGAAAACATTCGCCAAGCGTCTCTCCCGCATTAGCGACGATTTGCCGGTGGGGTTAAACGAAAGAAACTGAAGGAAAGAAATCCCGCAGGTGTTTACCGCGGGAAGAAATGCGACGTGTACATAGATGTGAACGACATACCAGATCTGCGTCGCATCGAAAAGACCGAGAACTCTCTGATCCTGGGCGGCAACGTGTCGCTAACCGTAGCGATGGAAACGTTCGGCAAGTACTCCAGCGAGACTGGGTTCAAGTACCTGAAGCACCTGGCCCATCACATCGACTTGATCGCCAACGTGCCGGTGCGCAATGCGGGCTCGATCGCTGGTAACCTGATGATCAAGCACGAGCACCACGAGTTCCCGTCCGACCTCTTTCTCATGCTGGAAACGGCCGGCACTCAGATACACATCCTCGACGGTCCCGGCAATAAACGCAGCATGGTGCTGTTGGATTTCCTCGCCACCGACATGCGGCACAAGATCATCTACAGCGTGGTGCTGCCGTTCCTGTCCAACGAGTACGAGTACAGGTCTTACAAGATCATGCCCAGGGCGCAGAACGCGCACGCCCACGTGAACGCCGGTTTCCTCTTCAAGCTCGACGGCGGCTGCAAGATCTTAGAGAAGCCGAACATCATCTTCGGCGGCATCAACGAGCACTTCCTGCACGCGAACAAAACCGAGCAGCTGCTGATGGGCAAAACGATCCTGGACAAGCAAGTGATGAAGAGCGCCTTGGAAACTCTGAGCAACGAGCTGCAACCGGACCATGTGCTGCCGGATTATTCGCCGGAGTTCCGCAGAACCCTCGCCATGGGACTGTTCTACAAGTTCGTGTTGAGCATCAAGCCGCAGGACGTGAACGCCAAGTTCCGCAGCGGCGGCAGCATCTTGGATCGAGATGTCTCCTCAGGTATGCCGAAGAGATGATCTCTTTTTCCTCCGCAGAGGAAGATCCGTTGAACTAGCAAAAGCGAATTTACTTTCCTTCTTTGGAATAACCCGATATACCATTAATCATTTCCCACCTTAGCAATATAATTGTTACAGAACATATGTGTTATTATATTGCATCGACATTGTTGAGAACTGCTGTGTAACGCACAATCTGTCGTAGGTATGCAGGACTTCGATACCGACAAGAATATCTGGCCGGTGAACAAGCCGACGACGAAGCTGGAGGCGATATACCAGACGTCAGGCGAGGCTCAGTACTGCAACGACCTGCCGCCGTATCCCGGCGAGGTGTTCTGCGCCTTCGTTGCCACGGAAATCGGCAATGGGAAGATTCAGAACATCGACGCGAGTAAAGCGTTGAAGATAAAGGGCGTGATAGCGTTTTACACCTACAAAGACGTGCCCGGCAAGAACCTGTGCATAGCCGGCACCAGTCAGCAATTCATGTTAACGAACGACGAGATATTGTTCGCCGAGAAGGATGTGTTGTACGCAGGTCAGCCGGTCGGCGTAATCGTCGCGGAGACGCACGATTTGGCGAACCAAGCTGCGAAATTGGTGGAGATCAAGTACAGCGACGCTTTAAAGAGGAAGCCCTTAGTAACCCTCAAGGACACCGTTGCCGCCAAGGACGAAACGAGATTCTTACAGACCGCCGATAAGCCAGCGAAGAACAAGGGTAAACGCTTGAGATAAAGAAGAGTGTCACGAAGAAGCCTGTTGCACTGAAAGAAGGATTCGATGACGATCAGCAAAATTCGGTTAAATGCTTTCAATTGCTCGCAATCAAATCATTTAAAAACAATTTAGTTGAAACTAACTAGTCCTCGGTGATTGTTTCCAAATCCTTCTTTTAGCGCGTGCTCGAGAAAAGTAAAATCATTGGGATCCAGGTTGATCCTTCTTTGAGAAATTGTGGAATGTTTTAGGTGTCGATGAATTTTGCAAATTGTTGAATTGAGAAAATGAGACAATGTAAAATACAGATCCCGTTCTTCGTAGGAACGAATATCAAGCACGTGATCAAAGGCAACTTCGAATGCGGTAGCCAGTATCACTACACCATGGAAACTCAGTCCTGCGTTTGCATTCCTGCGGAGGATAGTATGGACGTCTATCCGACGACACAGTCGATGGACCTCACTCAAGTATCGATCGCGCAATGCCTCAATGTCAAGAATAATAGGTGACTCATTAATCTTTATCGACCGCCTCAAAGAGAGTTCCGTACCATCCATTTCATGGTGCAATTATTCATTGCACACCAGTAGTTTAGAAAATTATTCTCGCTCTTGGAAAATGATTCTGTTATATATTTTTCTTCGGGAAAAACCGCGCACGAATTGACTTCGACAGAGAGGGGTCATGTAGACATGTTGATTAACATAATTCCGACAGCATCAACATCATCGTGAAAAGAATCGGCGGTGGATACGGAGCGAAGATTTCACGTAACACGCAAGTCTCGTGCGCCTGTGCGCTGGTTTGCCACAAACTGAATCGCCCGGCGCGATTTGTCTTGTCAATCGAGAGTAACATGATGTCGTGTGGCAAAAGATTCTCCACGCGCCAAGAATACGAGGTCGGTGTGGACGATGACGGAGTTATACAGTATCTCAATTCCACACATTGGGGCAATAGCGGCTACACCTTTAATGAGGCCCACGCTTTCTTGGCGGCGCACCATGCAGAAAAGTACGTGTTGAAAATATAAAACGCGGTAAATTGTGTTATATATGGGAAGAAATACTTTCGCGTGTCAGTAGAATGGTCAACAGCGTCATAACTGGAATACTTCTTAATTCACAATAGCAATATTATGGAATAAATAATAATATATTATTCAATAATAATTAATACTCTCAAGTTATTAAAGCGATATATAACTATTAATTATATAATGTACTATTATCAATTATATATAATGTGTATTATTATTAGTTAAAAAAAAAAAATATATATATATATATATCGTCGACAGCTGTTACGCAAGTGACAATTGGACGTTCAAAGGATACGAGGCGCGAACCGATCTGCCGTCGAATACATATTGCCGAGCGCCAGGATCCACGGAAGGGCTAGGCATGATCGAAAATATAATGGAGCACATCGCAAGAGCAACGAAGAAGGATCCGCTACAGGTCAGACTGGCAAACTTAAGCGACAATGACAGGAAGGCGATTGAATCGATGATAAGTGACCTATCGAAATCTGCCGATTACGAAATGAGGAAGCGAGCCGTCGAAACATTTAACAACGAAAACCGCTGGAAGAAGAAGGGGATCGCTTTAATGCCGATGAACTATCCTCTCTTCTATTACGGTCAATTCAACGCGGTGGTGTCGATTTGCGCACGTGACGGCACGGTCTGCGTCACACACGGCGGCATCGAATGCGGCCAAGGCATAAACACCAAGGTACAACTTTACGAATAAAATCGCGCGATATTATTGAAATTAATACATCATCAGCGCATTGTTGTAGCCAAGTATTGTAATAGTTTATCGAATAGAAAAGTGTGTCAGGTACAAAAGCATTTTTCCCGCGTAAAAATATTTGGTATGTCTAATATATCTTTTTATTTCGCAGATCGCTCAAGTGGTGGCTTATTCGTTGGGAATCGACCTGAGCTTAGTCGCCGTAAAAGCCAGCAATAACTTAATGACACCTAACACATCGGTTACCGGAGGCAGCATCAGTAGCGAGACTTCTGCAATGGCCGCCATAAAAGCATGTAAACAACTCATGGATAGGCTCGAACCGATCAAGAAAGACATGAAAGGTGCGACCTGGCAGGAACTCGTTTTAGCGGCGCACTTGAAGGATGTTGATTTATGCGCGCGTTACATGTAAGTATCGACACATCAGTAATATGCTAAATTATGTTGACATGTAAGAAAACTCTATCGTTTCCTGAAAATCAAGCTCTAAATATCTCGGCTCTTTTCAATTAAAAATGAGTTTGACATTCAAATCTATAAAAGGACCCACGATTTATTGGCGACACATCGGTCCAATATTGGTTATATCGGGAGCATTCCATTATTATAAAAATGTCATTGCTGCAGAGTTGTAAATAGAAATATTATAAATTGTGTGACTTCGCTTTTAAATATTGAAATAATTTTACAATGACATCCCGAAGAAATATACTCAATTTGTCTAATGTTGGGCAAATATCATTTCTGTTGCGAATCATCTTGGCGCAATCATTTTGAAATCGTATTTTTTCAATTCGTGATGATATTATTGCGCAATGTTTCCACAGTTTGCGTATCGGTACTCACTTGTTTTCAGGATCTCGCCCGTAAAAGAAATGCAAGCATATCCAGTTTATGGCGTCACCATCGCCGAAGTAGAAATAGACTTGTTAACCGGGCAGCACATCGTCAGAAGAGTTGATCTAATGGAGGACGCTGGTACGAGCTTGAATCCGGAGGTCGATGTCGGTCAAGTGGAAGGAGCTTTCGTAATGGGAATGGGATACTGGACATCCGAGGACTTGGTCTACGATCTTAAAACAGGAGCGTTGGTGAATACCAGAACTTGGGTGCGTAGTTTTTATTAATAGACTTCTTATGACAGCAACGTTACGTACGAATGTGATGAATCTTCCGTCCGACTGCAAGATGAGTGCGATCGTGATGAAATCATGAGTGTTTCATTCTCGCCGTAGAATTATAAACCACCAGGAGCGAAGGATATTCCCGTAGACTTCCGCGTGAGCTTCCGCAGGAATGCTCCCAACCCGGTCGGTGTCCTTCGTTCAAAGGGTAACGATTCTTTGTCAAATTTTATAAAAAATTTCCTCTGTAATCGCATATACAATTTAAGCGGGAAACTTAATAATCTCCAAATTCCCGTTTCGACAATTAAAATATATTGGGCGAAATTAAGGAGAATTCAATTTAACCACGAAAGAGCACTGAAAGGATTTGGTACGAAGAATTAGCTAATATTTGCCGACCAAATCTTTGACGTACCGCAACGAAATAATTTAGTTCCATTATATAATATTATTTTTCAATAATATTAATATGATTATTTGATTGTAGTAACCAGACATTTATAATAAGTAGCAAAATTTGATACTAAATCCTCCTTTCAGCATATAATTTTCCAAGTTTTCTTAAAACGCGATACGAAAAGTGCCGGTCTATTGCGGCAGAAAAGATTAAAGGATGGTCAATAACACCGTTAAGATGCAAAAATTTTTCACAGCTACCGGTGAACCACCGCTTTGCATGAGCTACACCATTCCGATGGCGATTCGCAATGCACTGAATTCTGCTAGAGCGGACAGCGGAAATACGGATGTTTGGTATCCATTAGGTGAGGTTCCATTCATGAAAGCGCAGATAAATACGGAAGGAATCGCCTCTCTTTCGCCGCGACTGACTTGCACATTTTTTTTTACAATAAGAAGAAATTGAATTGCGCGGTTTTGACTGTCAATTCGTCTGTTCTTTAGTCACAGTGCCAACGTTTCCTTCTCTTTTCATTGAAATTCTGATGTTATTTGTAGCATGTCCCTTTACCGAATCGTATGTCTGGCAATTTCTAGCCTTGATAAATGAAAGAAGATTGAAAAATGAAAAGAAGAAAATTATTCCAGGTCGCAGAATTAGACGATCCTGTAAATTCTCATAACGTGTATTATCGTAACATATATATTCACTCATCATTCGTGATTTTCACAGATGGACCAGTCACTACGGAGCGTATACTTATGACCAGTTTGACCAGCAAAGAGAACATGGTGCTCTGAGTGGGAAGCGATATGCAATCGCGAACGGTGCTTGAAATCGAGACTTCTACTAATTATCACTTTCATATTTCCGTAATAATTTTATGGCTTTCTAACCGTAATAACACCAGGCTTTTTGTGATCTGCACAGTTTACACGGCTACCCATGTGGTACAGACGTCCTAAAGACGTCCCGAGGACATCCTTATGCCCTAAGGATGTCCCCACAGGACCTCCCTTGGATAAAGTGTGCTGTATGGGTGATGATGTAAGAGGCGATGGTTTTTAGGCGATCAAGCACTCTGTTAATACAATATTCGGTAATTTAAGACGATATATCGATATATCGATATATATATAGAATATAGTTATCTTAATATAAGGCGCACACACACACACAATTTGTTTTATGGTAAATAATTTCAATAAATATTCTATTAAACGCCACTGATGTGTGCTACATAGTAAATATTACAACATATCTGCGGTGTATATTGATATTAATGATAATATAAAGTAGCCGTAAATAATAAATCGTAAATAATCGTGAATATGCGAGCACATACCGTAGGTATATACTTCTCGAGAGAATCTACAGCAACGATTATCATGTACAGACATCATCGTTAAACGTTCGAATTTGCACTTGAGGATGAGCGAGAAGGGGGACAGAAAGCGGTAAGAAAGGAAGAAAACGAAACGAGATAATGGCATGTGATTGGTATATGCACGAAATTAAACACACGTAGCTCGCGCACAGCGTAACGTTCGCCGGGAAATTGGAGAGGAAACGGAATTTCCTGGAATGTAGTTCCGTGCCGGTCTCAAGACATTCGCACGGAGCGACGTGCGTTCTCGAACGATTAAAACTTGCGGGCGCGTAATACACCGAGCGCAAATAGCGAAAACCGAAGAATAACCGGTATAATTTCGGAAAGATCGATCTTGCGAGGGTGCGCAAAGGTGCGCAATTTATCACATTTGGCGTGATATAAATATACATGTATATGTGTGTGTGTGTGTGTAATTTTTCACAGGATCATTCTCTCTCTCTCTCTTTTCCTGTTTGCGGCGTCGATTCTCTCCGCAATCAGACCGGTTTCCTCGCCGGTGACAAATAATGTCGCGGTAGAGCCGGCACAACTGTCCTCGTCTCGCGCATTTTGTCCGCCCTTATCCTCTCCTTTCGTTGACCGTACTCGCCGATTTCCGAGGAAGTACGATACGGAACGTTCTTCGAACAGAAGCAACGTCGTCACAATGCCGCTTCTTCGCCTGCGTGTATATATACAGACACACACATACATACATGTAAATATATACACCTCTCTTTTCCTCTCCTCCCATTCTCTAATCCGATAACGTCGCAAGCTATCTTATACGCCGGGTTTACGATAAAAAGTAGAACGGTCCCTTTTCGTTATTGTTTTGAATGGAGGAGTGATATTTCGATCGCCGCTAAGAACGCGGTACGAGAAAGCAGGCGGACGTGATGACTACAGCTTTGACTTGGACGAGACAACAGCGAAACAAATTATACGCGCACGAATCTTTGTCGAGCCGCAGGATGTTCTGTCGAATCTAACGGCGTTGTGAATATCGCACAATAATAATCTTGCGATATCGAGTACGCTAATCCCGAGATGCAAGTGGTCAATTTCCGTCAAGAATTGTGTGGAAAAATTTAGCATCAAGAAACTCCCTCCTCGATCCACCGGTAAATTTCGTTACACGTTTGCAACAACGCCCTCGAGAAGGGTTCCTTCTCTCTCTTTTACTCTCTGTTATCGTCAACATTGTATAACTTATACGAAACAACATTGAACCAACGATCGCTTTCTCCCAAGAATTTGTTCACCGCTGTAGATCCTTGAAAGAACGTCCCGTAGTTTTTCACGCGTAAGGCCTACTACCCGTTAAAGAACAATAAAAATAATTCGGCTGTGAACTATTTAGCTACGCCTCGAATTTATCGTATTCGATTGATATCGACAGTCTCGTCCAAATCGCGACCCGCCGCTCGGTTATATTTCGCATGCCAACACATGACTATATATAATTTATATATATATATATATAATCTTTTTTGCACTATATATATATATATATATATACGGATCTCTACGTATATTCTTTCTTCTTTTTTCCCCTATTACAGCGAAGACTATATGCTGATTTGCATACATACATACATACATACATATATGTATGTACGTATGTATGTATATATGTATATGCATACCTTAAAGTAAATATATACGTCGGCAAAGATACTCTGACACCACGACTACTGCTTTATCTTTCTTTTTTTCATTCTTCTTCCTCTTCCTCGACATTTGTACAACGAGAAGGCATTGTCGTCACCGCGCGCTCACGATGCCGGATCGCTGCTATTAGAAGTCGCTTAACGACGGATGGGTCATCGTGCATACGTGCATAATAACCGGCGCCGTGTTAACGACCGACGATAGTATTATACATGGCGGATTACGCATACATATACATGTAACACCGTAACACGATTGCGAGAGGTATGGATTTCCTTGTTGCGGCGCGCGTACTCCTCGCACACTAAATGCATCGATAATTGCGCCCGTATGTGTGTGTATATACCGATCAAGACGATTCACTAACCGGCCGGCCGATGCAGCGTGAATCGGATCCAGCCAACGGTTCGCACCTACTGTGTGTGTGTGTGTGTGTGTGTGTGCGCGCGTGCGTGCGTGCGCGCGCGCGTGTGTGGTGTGTGTGTGTGTATGCATATACATATATATGCGTGCATGCGCATATATACACGTATATATGATGCATGCATGTACAAGCATAGACAATACGAGATTACGTTAAAACTAAATAACAGTAAAGCTTTCTTCCGAAAACACCCCCGAAGTCTCCGTGGGGTGAACACAAGCGCGACAAGCCGTTCTTGGAGCAACAAGGCATCTATCTTAGATAAAAAGGGAGTACGACTCGTGTGACAAGAGCAACACCGATTTTTCGTTCCCACTTTCTTCCTCTCTCGCTCTTTCATCTACAATTAATTCATCGCTATTGGTATATCGATTTAGTTCGTTTCGGAACCAATCGGCTACCTAACTCTCGATAAATAAAAGCCCCTCGACAAATCTTAACAATGTACAGTGTCCTTTACGAGAGGCTGTTTTACATAAAATAGCAGGTAAGAGGTTTGCGACAGTATTCAACTAGTTTACCGTGATAGAACAGCTGGATCTCCGGAGTCCGTTCTCAGTTTATATCTTCCTAACGCGATAATATACGTAATATTGTCCTGTTATGCTCGGCCACCAGTAGCTTTAAGCGATGCCGGCCGCAACTCCCTTCCAGCGGACAACGAAAGGAATCGATTGGAGATGTGAGAAAATACTAATATAAGATCACAGTGAGAAGGGGAGGGCCAATTAGAATCTAAACGCTCTTTTATACACAGGAGATAAATATACTAGCAACTTTAAATATATTACAAAAGAAGGGAAACAACGAGCAGCGCGATCCGGCCGTGCCAATTTGCCGAGAAAACTCGCGCGATGTATGTTACAATTCGTATCGACGCGATTGCGCCACGCACGCGAGAGAATTCTCCTAAAAAAAAGAAAGAAAAAACATATCTACATGAACAAAACTCCCGTGCGAGTTTTGCGCGAAATTTACAATAAAATTATTCTTTTCTTCCTCGATGTGAGTGACAACGATAATATTAACAACATCAGCGACACCGCCGCTCGCGTCACCGTCCCAGAGCTACCGGCGACCCATTAAGAACTCGCACGATCTCCGCGAAGCTTGACCTTTAGCTACCGATTTACAGACTAACTTCCCGCGGTCGGTTTACGCTCATAGAGAAGATCCTGTAAGTTCCCCGTATTATACAAAAATACGTCCGACTACGAAGAACGACTGTGAAAATCAATCGATAGCGACCTAAGAACGGAAAGTGTGCATCGATGGGAGGGGAGCGATTCGTTGATACGAGCTCGGCGATGTGTATCCGTTTCCTCCTCGCATCCGACGCGCCTAAACGACGCCGCCGCGTTTAACCTTCCTCACTTCTCGACCGGCTTCGCAAACACATTTAGTCGTTTCCTTCGATTACATTCTATTCGGAACAATTTCTCTTACTTATCCTATCAATATCAATATGTATACACGCACACACGCATACACACACACACGCGCGCGCGCACACGCACACACACACACAGTGATACACGTACATATGCTAATAAAACTAAAAGTATCGGCGACGAGAGTGAGAAAGGTTAATACAGTGTGTATCCTGAAATCGCGATTGAAAATACTCGGTGTAGCGCTCGAAAGTCATGATCGGCATATAAATTCAATACTTACATCAGCTACCGTCTCGACGGCCCAATTTCGCCAACGTCGCTCGGCGACGGAACATTTGATTAAGCTGCTCGTTAATTAACGGAACGTCGCATTAATCTGCTGTCCACATCGAGCGATCCAAGGATAAACGGAAGGGAGACCAGCGCGAGACCAACGTTGGCGGAATCGGCCGTATCAGTCCACGACGTAGAGTTACAAAGGAATAAATAGGAGAGAAAGAAGAGAAAACAAAGTATAGACAATACTAAGCGAGATCGCGAGTATAGTGGTGAGCGAATTAATAAATGAACGCGGGCGGGCGATTGAGAATTCCATCGATACGCGCGAGACGGAGACACTTCCGCGCACTCGATTGAGTAATCGAAGGTCGTCCATCATAATTGTCGCCCGCGAGAATCACTCGCCCCGTTCGTCGCGCGATTCTCCCAACAACAAATCTCTACGTAGACTAGCATTGCATTCACGCTGCTTACACATCGTCACGACGAACTTACTTTTTCCTTTTCCCACCCTCTGCACACGGCGATTCATCCTAATTCTTCTTCTTTCTCTTTCTTTCTCATTAACGCGCGGATCGCGCGCTCGCTACGAAGCGGCACAGGTTTGCGAGCGAGCTGGTCGAAATGACCGATCGATACAAGCTACGATTCCAGACGACAGATTTTCGTTTTCCCGCCGACGCTGCGGTGACGAGTCTCAAACGGAACGGGATATTGACTGTATCGATATAGTACCGTGCTCGAATCGTAGGTTTACATTATATTCGTAATTATGTGTATGAGCATCGTCTTAACTTGCTTATGTATCTCGTTTTTCAACTACCTTATTATGATATCTTCGAACAATACGGATAAAGAACATTTAACGAGTCCACCTATTCGTCTCATTGCCTTCTTCCCGCGATATACGTGTGTGTATATTTAATATGTATGTTTCTATGTACGTGCATAGGTGTGTGTGTGTGTGTTTGTAGTAATTGTCGCGTGTGTTTATTGTTACATTTAATACTTCGACAAAAGCCTCGAAATTCTCTCTCAGCTCGATCCGTACATTCGCAGAACAACGTGTGTAAGTGTGTGCATTTGTGCGTGCATACATATAACACACATACATACATACACACACACGCATATAAACATATATATGACAACGAGAATATATACACGAGAATCTATCTCGACATGTTTTTTTTTTCTGTTTTGCACTTATTAAACGCGTTAACGCGGATATTGGTACGTGCAATCGTCGTGTAAATCTAACGCGATTACGGTTTAGACCATCACGAACCATCGGAATCTCCCCCCTCCCTCACTCGCGTCGACAACGCGCCCTTAAACGATATTACAATATCGACCCTTGCATTAACTAATCGTACCTAAATATCGCTACATCGTAGTTACGGAAAAATCCTTCACTGAACTTAGAAATGCATCTTCGATAGGCTTTCTCGATATCAACGAAGAAGAACGGTTCGGTTACTCGCGCGCCAACTGTCACCTCCGATCACTCGCGCAGTTCACTGTTTATATTCACGGCACGAGTCCTCGTGGCGTCACCGCACTCTCACGTGATCGTGTCATTCTTAACCGTGTCCGAACAACTCTTGTCTGTTTGTCCCGAATATCATGCCCGGCAACGGATTTCAGGGTGAAAAAGCCACCCTTGACTACGGTACGATTCCCATGAACATTGGCTGGAATATTTAATTAAGGCTCGATCTCTCTCTTTCTTGTTTTTTTTTTCTCATTCATCACCTCATCGGGGTTACTTGTCTCTCTTTCCAGCTCTCACCTGACAACATTTCACAGATCTTTCTTCCTTGGAAACGCCAGTCAACGTTAAAACCAAATCGGTTCATGGGAACGACGCTGTGTTACGGAGTAGTGATGCACGTGTTACATACTTTCGGCAAGCACATGTATGTATATATATATATGTATATGTATATATGTGTATATATATATATACACATACATACATATATATAAAGTATGATACAGTTACCGATCGCGTATTCACAGTGTGACGATTCAAGTGATATTCAATGATCTAAGATTGATCGGACCCACGTCTAACGGAAATAAGCGGGATAACAAATCATGTGTTTCTTTTTTCTTTTCTAGGCATATTACACAACGATATTTACAAAATGTCGCTCCGTCTTCTTAATTCCATTTTGAATCCTGGAACAGTTAAATTGAGGTTTGCTTTAGTCACACGCGCAATGTTGCGGCCACAGTGACATCGTTTGCAATCTAATTTACTTCTTCAGCTATGTACTGACGATCGATATTTATATGATAAAATTTTCATAAATTAATATACTCTTGTCCGCAAGCGACAGATCGATCAGATTAATAACGTAATGCTACGTGATGCTGAGTGATATAAAAGATGATGTAGAGAATGTGAGAAGGTGTCGAGGTCGTAATCCGGTCGTGTATATCATTAGTAACACAGAGTGATCGACAAGTTACCTAAGATTTGACTCGCCAAGATGAAAAATCTTGGCGTCACAAGTGTGTTACTTATTATTAATCACAGATATAAGTCACAGAGATTATGTACATTATTCCCACGGTTCTCCAGAATGACGCCCACCAAGAGAAATCGTTCGAAAAGAAATATAAAGATCGCTCGTACAAGGGCTGAGGCTGTACACTGAACTACTATATTTACTCCATTATATACATATATGTATATATATATAAATATATATACATATAAACATACCACGTATCAAATAAGGTCATAACTATATGATACAACTTACTGCAGAAAAATTCATCGGGTCTCGTAATCTTCGCGTACATTGTCTCTGCACTTTGCAATCGTGAAGATTGTGACTAGAGAGTCATCGCCACGAAATTACTGTCGCGGCAATAAGGGCGATAAGTTTCTATTTACAGTGAGAAGTTGATTCAATTTTTCACCGAACAAGTATATCCAATGAGATCATGCCCGATTAAAGGAAAGCTCAGCTTGTAATGCCGTGACGGATGTTGAGGGTTGTCGCGCCGCCCTTAATCGACCCACAGGTCTGTCGCAGCTCATCCTATCGTACACGTCGACTCGAGAATGCTGAATGAGGAAATAGGTACCTAATCCCTTCACAGAGCACCAAATGGATCGAGCTGGACAGCATTGCCTTGTGGCTGAGCTGCTGCTTGAGGATGCTGCTGCTGCAGGTTAGGACCCATCATGGGATTCGCACCGGTCATTTGCATCATGGGTGCAGTCCCTCCCGCAACCATCATACCGCTACCGGCGGCGGAAGCACCTGGGATAGTACACATCATCGGCCTCATACCCTGCATGCCCTGCATGCCCTGTATGCCCATCGGTATACCTTGCATACCCTACAGACACCAGAGAGCGAGAGAATGAGATGTATGTACAATAGAAAGCGTGTGCCTGCGAAATAACGCTTTTCTTAACGTTAAGCCAGCAATGGAAGACCAATCGATTTTGCGACGGGCGTCAAATTCATGTATCGATAATTAACTCTCGGCGGGATTGACGACATTGATATTCAATAAGCCAATGCGATTCATCAATCGATCGTTAATCGTCGATTAGATCAATCATAGCTTGACGAAAGTCAACCTTAAACGATCCAAATTTGGACGGTGGTTGGAAACAACAATGTGCTTCAAACTCCTTGTCGACTACTTTGCAGAGATAAATACGTTAATATATGGAAAAAATTAAATGCCTCCCTCCAAAGTAAGATAAGATGCCTAAAGTGAAAATACGGGGACAAGTCAATAATTATCCGTATTTCGTTTATAAAATTGATCATAAGAACGTAGAGAATTTATAAGCATTGTATTTTTCAATATGGAGTCCCCCCCCCCAACACGCTTAAGCTGCAATGTGTCACGAGTTTCTTTTTACCGTCACAGAAAGAAATGTACTGTCAATTTATATAAACTTACAAGTGCGGATAATTACCGACTCGTGCCACCTTTTAAGGGTCCTTTCGTTTCCTTTGAGACACGATTCTCAGTATGCCTCGCGCATTTACACTTTTTCCAACCACTCGCTCCAACATTCGAGCTATATAATCTCTCTCGCACGTTCTCGCAAATCTCACGGAGATACTCTCATAAAAATATAATATTTAATCTATTCTCTCCATGTTACCTTGTAACTTATATCACCACATGAGCGCTTTACGTGTCTCTGACTGATCTACGTTGTCTACTTCAAACTAAAATATTTCAAGCGAACAGTAGCCAAGAACGTGAGAAAAAAAGATCTCAAACCAGTCTGCGGAAAAGTCTGTGTAAAGATACATCACTGCGATCAAGTATCACTACATTCTCAAATCGTGCGCCAGCGGTACATGTCGATGCAATAAGCACATAATGCAACGAGGTGTCGAAGTGGGATATGTCATTTCCCGGTGACTTGCCACTTCGTGCCTCGCGGAAAGTAGAGGAGGATCGTTCGGTATGCAATTTTTACAGTGAGTGTCGTTATCGACAAGGTGAGTTAGTGACAATAAGTGTTATCATCACACACTTTACTCGCGCGAGGCGAAACTCGGGCGAATTTGTTGCATCGTCGCGTCGTTCATCATGCGTTTCACTAGAATTCCTCTAATAAGAGTCTGGCCATCTCCGACTTCTTATTGATCGGTCTAAAGAATTTCTTATTTGTTAAAAAATGGCGGGATTGAGAATTGTCAAATACACTCTGTAACTAAACATTGTTCTAAAATGGCAGACAGTGGTGAAAGGATTTTTTTTCACTCATATAAAAGTTATGCATTTTTAACCGGAAACCGTTTTTTCTGCTCCGATCTCAATCCGTAAAAAATGAGTAATATACAATCCAACTTGTACGATTGTAAACACTTGTTATTAATGCTTTCAAAAGTATACGGGAATTTTTTCAGATTTTTATATAGTCCGGAACAGAATAAAAACAGTATTATATATATATATATATATAATAGGATAAATTTCATATAAATCCTCAGAAAAATATGCTTGAACTCGAAATATTGTCGGCACTTTTCATAGAGAAAAACATTCTAGTAACAAACTAGACGCCATTTTTTATCAAAAAGTCGAAGATGGTCAGACTCTTACTTGAGGGATTCCAAGTTTCACAGAGTACAGACGCTCATGATTGCAAAGCTTACCATCATGGTGGGCTGTGTGGGAAACCCCATGGTCGTGGTCGTAGGCAGCAGCTGCGTCATTCCTTGGCCCTGTAACATCCGGTAACATGCCATATGCCACGCATGCAACACTCACCTAAAAGGGGCGCTAATTGAAAGTGTCGTTACGGTATTACGAAGAGCGCGGAAGAGTCCCACGACGTTGCGGCTTAATGGTAAACTTACGCACATGTATCTCTCGACGGGTCTACATAGAGAGCTGGACGTACACTACGTGTCTAGTGCGCTGAAGCGACAATTATTTACAAGAGGTCGCATCCAATACGGATTATATATGTATATTATAGAGAGTGTAGAGAGTATATGTGCCGAGTCATCTGCGCTTTGAACCAACAGGTTTCACCACACGACAATGTGGTTAAAAGTAAAGGAACAATGAAAAAGTTCTTACAGAACTGTGAGCTACGGCTGGGACTTACATTTGCTTCTCGGAATATCGATCGCTTTCCAGTTGTATTACAATTAATTTTACGATTAATTATACTTAAATATAATCTGTGTCACTTACATGTGCAGGTTAAAGTGCAGGTGATTGAATATTTTGCCCTTTACAATATATACCAAAATCAAGGTGATCCGTCAAAGTGTAACTTTTGGTGAATAATTGTCGCTAAAGCGATTCATTGCGATTCGCGCAATAAGGAATTCACGCCTCTTTCGCGCCAAGTCGAATGTGTGGAGTGTAGCAAGACGGAAATAACTCCGAATAGGAAGAATCGACGACCTAAGGTATTACGCAACATTTATACTGTCACGGTGTAAAAATAGCTAGAAGTTGTGTCGTCAATAAGGCGAACTGCCTATTGTCGGACTGATAATAACTTAAAGAATAATATATGCATAGCAAAAAACGACAATGAATGCTTGTCTGCGTTCATGGTGTACTAACGATTGGAAAAAACGTGCTGCGACAATACCTTGAAACAATAACAAGACCGAAAATGGAAAGCTCACCATGGGTCGATATCCAGCACCAGTCGTAGCTGCCATTGGTTGCGGTGACCAACCAGCCGGACCGCCCGTTTTCGCTGCGTTCTTCGGAGAGTTCCATTGCATCCCTCTGAAGAAAGGAAAGTTTTAATTTCCTATCGTTGACCATCACGTTTCAACGGTCAGTTTCACAACACCACGAGTGACCGTGAGTTGCACCGTCATTGTTACGAGTGTACCAATTTCAGGGAGACTTGCGAACTTGTACATTTAAAATCCGAATTGTCTAAAGATGTGGTCACACTCACTTGACTTGCTGCTGAGCGCTCTTATTAATCGTCAAGTTCTGCGCGAGACTGGCGAGGCTGCTGTCCAAATCTCCGGTCAGGACCTTGCCAGTGCCGGCCGCGTTGACCGGTTGCCCCGCGGCTGAAACGTCGTTAACTCGGGATACAGTTATAAACACAACAAATCCCCTTCCACCCCCAAAACCATGAAAACCCCAAGCAACATCTACATCAGGCGAAACAACGACTATAGAACTCGAATTGGAGGACTTGAAGCGAACTGTAAAATTGATTCATATAATTACTGGGGTGGAGCATAAGTAACATATATATCGTAACGAAAAAAACTAAAAAAAAAAAAAAAACACCCGGGAGATTTTTACACGAAGGAGCAACACCGTCGTCGCAGAATTCCTGCGTGCAACAGCGTGCAACAAAATTGCGCAGATCTGTGTCTTTATGTCGCACAATTAGTCGCGCGAATAACAGCATGCAGCTTATCGCAGATTAATTGAATCGTATTCGCGCGTTCGAGAAGTCGCGATCATGAGGTTATCGCGCGTTCTCACCGGTTGACGATGTAATCGTTTATCGTTCTTCCATGATTCTTCCGTGAATATCTGAGATTACCCGACACAACACGAGTGCTAAGATCACACCATTGAGACTATCTCGTGTTCTCGCGTGCTTGAAATCATAGACACATTTAAGGCAGCTTGCTTGCCGAGCGAGCGATACATACAAATCGAACGTGAAACGCGATCGTGCTGAGAAAAAAGAAAATATAACAAGAGGGGGCGGGAGGGGAGGCGAAAGAACAGAAGAAACGAAGAACCTGGATTCACGGTAGAGCACAGTGGTGTGGTGGAAAGCCGTCGAATCATGCGTAAAAATCAACTTTTCCAACTTTCGAATCGATCAAGCTCGTCTCTTATTCATCAATCACTAATCCATCGTGAGCTGAAAGTATTTTTCACCGGAGGGGTGGGGGTTTAACGTCACAATTTAACTTGTACAATCGTTATTTGTAGTTTGAACGACCAGACCACTGTGCGGAGGATGCGAGAGTCTCATGCAATTTAGCGTGACTAATTCGGGGTATTCCCGTCACCTGACATGGCTTGCTTTGCCGGCGAACCGTACCCTACTTGGGGGGCTTGGGTAGGGATACCATAGCCTATCGGCATCGGCTGCTCAGTAGCGTCGTCCGGGTTGCACGCGAACATACCGGCCGCCGACTGCGGCATGCGTCGTTGTTGCGGCTGTTGCTGGGCGGCCAGTGGTGCCGGACGCGACGGAGACCCGCCCAGTGCCATACGGATACTGTCGTTGAGATCGTCAAAGGCGCTCTTGCCCGGGGCTGAACCGGCGGCGGCGCTCGCCGCCGCCGCCGTCGCCGCCGCCGTCGTCGATGCGCTCGCCGCCGCTGGCCTACCATGTGACGCTCCGCCGACGCACGTCGGTGACAGTGTACGCGGTGCACCATTCGCGGCGGTCGCGGGTGGCGGTGGTCTAGGAGGCGGCGTGGCAGTGGACGGTGGCTTGCCGGGAGGCGCCGCCGCCATCCCATCGGCCGCGGCGTCTCCGTCACTGCCGTTCGCGGCCCTCAGCATCGCGGTGGAGAAGAGATCCGCCTGACCACCGCCGGCACTGAAGAGGTCTCCGCCTTGCGCCGCTTGCTCGTTCGCGCCGCCAACAACAACACCGCCCTGCTCAAACAGCCCGAAGGTCGCCTGGCCGCCGGATGGGAAATCGGACATGAAGGGATTAGGTACGGACGCGGCCGTTCCTGGAGCGCCAGCTTGCGCAGAAAGAGTGATCGGGGTGCATAAATTAGCTACCTTCCTTCTCCGGACTTCGCGTCCGGTGGGAGCAGTGAAACTAAGTACGAGAGTACCTCACCGTGATGTCCGATTAATTTTATGTTAGTCACAGCGAGAATCGCGCGCGTTCTGTTAACGCGACGACCGCGCGCGCTCAAAATGCACACTCTCGGAGAGTATACCGAATAATCTCAACGATTACCACGAGTTACTGTCGTTCGATCGTTTATCGTCGTTACTGGGCGATCGTTACGTAATCTCGCGGCTGTAAACGAGCCGCCTGTGTAATCGCTGTAATTCACTCGGCGTACGTCTCTGCGTTAAACGGCATGTGTGATTGCTTGCGTTCCAAAGATGAAAAGTAGGTATGATGCGAAAGTATCATAAGAATGGCCGCGAGACAGTTCCGCGAGATAAAGAGAGAGAAAAGAAGGCGCATAAGTAAACGTGGCGGAGAAAGGAAACGAAAAACGCACAGAATACTCTCAACCCGCGCTGTGTGTGTGTGTGTGTGTATGTGTGAGCAAGTCCGATATATATATATAAATCCTCGCGCTAATCACGATTGAGAGCACTTACAAGATTGCTGTTCTTGATTTCCGAATACGGAGGAAAAACTGTTATCTGTAACAAAGTTATTATTTGCTGGTGGCGCAGCCGCGAAACCTAAAAAATGGAAAATGGAAGAGAATGAGAAACAAGGAGAACAAAAAGAGAAAAAGAAAAGAAATAATCAGATCAAGCGCGGTGACGGAAGAAGCAGCGATGAATCGAATATCGCGACTTAAGTCTCGTGCTCACCATTACCGTTGGTCATCCACATGTTGTTCTGAGCAGGCTGCGCGGCCGACGGCGCTGACTGCACGAACATGTTCGCGAATGGATTGCCCGCCAGTTGCAGCAGATCGTCCGACGCCTTCTGAGACTGCTGCTGAAACAACGCGACAGGTGTGTCAGTGTCATTTCTCTCGAATTGCGTTCAATTAAAAATCAACACCTGCGTACCTGTTGATTTTCTGACGCTGGCGCGGCACCGAACAAATCCACGATCGGTTGATTAGCATTATTGGTTGGAGAACTGAGGAAGGGATTTGTGCTGGGACCACCCGATGGTGATTGTACTTTAGCCTGCAAATTGAATCTTTGTTATAAAAGTAGCGTAGCCGAAAGAATATTGTCGTATTAATATCTATGGTTGAAATCCTCCCGGTACAATCGGAGCCTTGATAAAAAGATCGCAATTAATATGGCTTCGCGAACTAATACCTTGTATTGATTCATGGCGGCTTCCTCTTCCGCGAGAGCTTGCTGTCGCAACGCTTCGTCGATAAGGCCGTTCCCGGTTTGGTCGAGTCGCGCGTTACTGGCTGCTGTTCCGAACGCGGTACTGGTGGAAGACAGGGCGGACACTCCCGACTTTACATTGGTTCTATTGCTGCTTGGGCGATGATAGGATGTCGGATGTTGTGTCGATGGAAAAGAGGACGGACAGAAGAATACGGAAGGTCCGTTTCAGCGTAAAATGTGGCGAGAGAGGAGCGTAAAGGAAAATATGTAATTGAAAATAAAGGAGAAGACAAACAAAAAAACAAAAAAGAGAAACGGTGTAGTAACGTATAGATGTAACAATGCGTAGAAAATTGCAATGTGCATTACGCGCACACTTCACACATACACGCACGCACGCACGCACGCACACACGCACATTCATTCATGCCCGACTCCATCTCATTTCTCCCCTCACACTCGTTCTTTTTTTTTTTTTTTACTTTCGCACTGTATTCTAATATACACATGCATTTATTGACGTTCTATTTTCTATAGTAAGGAGAGTAGCCCAAATATTGCTTAGTATATTTTGCATGATTCGTAATTGAGTCTTAAGTAGCGTACTACGAATAATGTTGCATCTGCGCTACAATAAATAAGCAGTTTTGTTTAGATAAATACATGTGTGTTATTACAATGTAATTCTCATACTTTTTGCTCTAGCCAGATAAATTATTTTGACAATTAAAAGTATACCCGTAGAAACTTAGCGCCTGGTGATTAACGAATGTACGGCTCACTCGTTTTTTAATAGATAGAGAGAGACTTTGCCGTCATAGCTGTACGAATTAATATTACATCAACACTTGTCAAGTTTCTCAAACGATGACACTGCATGATCGGTTTTGATCACAATTAGTAACTCAGAGTGTATATTAAAGCGTGCTGAAGTATAACCAATAAATTATAAGGAAACTACGTTATCTAAACACATTGTTCATTCGTGCAGTGTATAGGAGTGTCAAATTGGATAGTGTGATAATCACAGTCACGACTCGAGGAAGAATACGTAATATACAGAAAAATTGAATAGCAAATTTAAGGATATAATATGGATATCTATAAAAATAGGCCAGGATAAGGGTGAAAATATTTCGAGTGTTCTACAACTAAACATTAAATATTGGAGACAATATTAACCTTATATCCAGGGATATCATCGACAAATTTTTCAAGTCGGACAACTGATCAAATATCCCTTTCCAGCGATAACACTAAAGAATACTATCCAGATCTCCTGTCAGTCGACAGTTACGTAAAGAAAGGTGGTCAACACTTAACATTCACACAAGTCAAAAATAATTAATCGGGAAGTCGGGATATTCGGAGACTCGCATAATTCGTTTTAATTCTTACATGTGCGTGTGCAATAAACGTATCAAGTACTATTCACTTTGAAAAAGCTCGTGGCAATATGTAAAAGAGAGATTTTCTGTCCATCGGGTGAAAGAACGATGAGACGAAAAAAAATATATAAATATATATATATATATAGTGGAGTTTAGAGGAATAGTAATATCTCAGTTTATAAATAGCATTCAGCATTCTATGTATCATAAATGTTTAGGATTATCCCTACGTTGATCGAAATGTGTAAGACATAAATGAGTCGGATAAATGGAGATAAATCGACGGTACCTTGCTGATTGCGTTGGTGTATTCGCGGCTGAGCCCTTCTTTCCTTCCAACGAGGCGAGATGTTGCTCCAGGGCATCCAACAAACTGCTCGGTGCCTAAAAAAACAATCGTCGGTCATCTTTGGAGCATTACCGTCTATCGTGAAAATGTAAATTCAACTATGCGTTTGATCTTGAAAACATCTCTCTCCGCTAAGATATATATAATACATGCACTTGTTTGGATGGATATTATTAAAGATATTATTAAAGATCTTCAGAACGACACGCGCTAGAATGATTTGCAAACGCGACTGGCTCACAAAATCTCCCAAAAAGAAATATTGCTGAATCATACTGAAGGGAGAAACAAGAAAATCGAAATTTTAGCTACATGTTAACTTTGTTTTCTTACACATCGTGTTAATTATTCTTCAAAGTGGCAAGCGACAATTGAACACGAATTAGACTGTTATCATTGATCACGACATTAGCAGAAGATGGCGAGAAATAAATAGTACAATTGAGCACACGCACCTTTGTCAGATCTGGTATGTCTCCCTTGTCGATGCCGACATTCTGCAAAGAAAACGCGCGATCAGTCGTGCATTAACGGACCACCTCCAGCGGTCTTTACGTTCGAGGCATGCGTGTGCAACTTACTTCCGCGACTTTCAAAAATTCTCCGACCCTGTCCATGCGTATAAGAAACTTCTTGTAGAGGTCTAAGGCGTCCCGACATTGTTTCTTATTCATGTCGAAATACTTTTCTGAAAGGTCACACGGACCGATAAGAGCAGGACACGTGATACACGTACGCGAATTCTACCGCGAGATTAATTATGCCGATGTGTTACATATTGATTATCAGCGAACATCAGCGTTTGTTCCTAGATAAGAAAAAGGAATACTGTGAATACGGTGTGTTACCTAACAGATTAATGATGCCGTCATTATAACAGGCGAATAACCGGATAAGATCTCGAAAGAGAAGCATGAAGGCCATGTTTATGACGCCATTTGTGAGGTCGTTTGCCGTGCAATCGAATTCCAGCAGTGCGTCGAGTTGCGACTGCAGTACCGGCAAGGTTTTCAGGAGTTTCTCAGCATTCATCGTGCGTAGAGTGCCGTCCTCCTTCCTGTAATGTGAATTACGCGATGTTTAATTGCTTCGATGATAAAGTTTATTGTAATAATAATAATAATAAATATATAAGCGCATTGTGTGCGATATAAATACTAAGAGTGCTTGATCAATCAGTTGAAGAAGCAAAAGGTGATCATTAATTTGATTAGTAGTGAGATTACCTTTAACATACACACACACACACACACATACACGCGCGCACGCACGCACGCACACACATACCCTCTTTTCACTTTGCAGAAGTCGAACGCAACCGTCCTGTAGGAGAGGGCTTTCTCGTTGAGGTACTTGGCGTATCGTCTGATAAACGGCGACATGTCATATCCTGACGCATAAAAAACGCTCATTACTCATTCGTACACATAGAGTGAGGCGCGATGAAAGCACCAACAGCGCTACGCAACAGTGCGTAAAAGTGAAATTAGAAAGTCGGCTGTGCTATTGCATATTAATTTCATAAGTTATGTAAACGTGTGCACGTTGATTTGAAAATGGAAGTAAAAATACTTGTATTCCGCCGGACACATTTCGCAAATCTTATCCATTTAATGACGACGATTAATGCGCATACCGAGCGCGTGTCATCTTTCGACACACATCAATCGCCACACACGCAAATCATATTAGACCCACAACGCTCATATACACGTGTATCTTAACGTTATCATCGCAAAGTCGGACGACACAGACACAGAGCTACAAAGCCACGTTAGTAAGTAAGTAACGTGAAATAAGAAGAAGACGCAATTAGAACTCACCCACGCGTATTCCTGCTGTGCCCAAAAAGATAGAAAGTTAGTCCAGGTTAGTAAATCGTACACACACACAGATGCCAGATACATGGAAAAGAGAAAGAAATTTTCCATATGGACGATAGAGCTGCACAATGCAAGGAAATCGGTCAGACGGAAAATTCGTCACGGGAACGAGAACGCGTGTTTATCATCGTTCCGTTCCGGAAATCCGTGATTATTATTCCAAGCGACTCTCGCGTTAATCCTCGCCGATCGACGGACGTCTCCGTTAAGTGCGTTCTTGACAAAAGCCCATCGTCGTGATTACCGACTATTCAAATTACGAGGTGTTGCAATTTTCTATGTGACAGGTGCACGGTAAGCATGGCCGGAGTATCGCCGCAACTACGTCGATGGATCGGACACGTGATTCTAGCGAAGAAGACAGTGCGGAAAGCCGTGCACATAGTGCAGCGCGTGTGCCATTCGCGGCGTGACTTTTTGGTTAATCGAAAAATGAACGTTAGTCTGCCGCTTCTTAGGTGAACGAATTTTTCTTTAGTTCCAGTAGAGACGTTACAGGATTAGTTGCTGCGTGGAATGTTCCCGGGATTGGCGAAAAACCGACGCCTGTATGCGTCGAAATTCACGTTTCGAATTTTATTCATTAAGAGATACGAGAATGTGTGTGAGTGTGAGTGTCACACTGGTCAACACGGAAAATGTATTCTGGATCTAAACCGTTAATTGTACACAGAAAAAAAATATTTTCCAAGTAAAATGTTTACTTTGATCCAAATAAAATTTACTTAATCCAAGTAGAATTTTGCTAAGGAGCATTGAAGTGATTATTTATTTGAATCTAGCGCTGTTTCTTCTGTGTGGTTAATTTTGTGGCATTGGTCACAAATATAACAGTTAAAATCAAAACTCAGCTCTCATTTCCATCATGTAATAAACAACAATAAAAAAAATTTGATATTTGATGCTTTCGTGGTGTGGAAAAAAGGGGACATCTTCATCTCTTTTAAAGCTAATTTTTTACTTTGAAATGGTATGTCAGTCCTATAAAAATTTATGAGACACATGTTTTAGTTTCCTGTAGAATGACCGAGACTATTTCTATTTTTTTCGTATTGTGACATTTTTTATTCTGATATTGACGTTAAAAGACGCCTAATAATGTAACATTTAAAAGACATTTTAGTTTTTATGGAACATAAAAATAACAAGAAACCCGTATATCTCACGTCACACGTGTCCCGCCGCCACTTTTCGCCAATTCCGGAACGTCCCGTGTGATATCCCGAGGAACGCGCGAAAGTATACTCGCTGATAAATATCGTATCACGAAATGATCACCTTGTACGCCGCTCTTGTCGAGAAAATTGCTGAGCTGGAACGTGCTGTTGCTGGAGGCGAGATACTGCGTAAACCTCTGCATATAAGGACACTATTTTAGAATCGGACCAGGGAGAAAAGAAGATGTGCACGCGAGCTAAAGGAACAAGTGGTAATTTTTTTTTTTTACCTCGTTGCCATAGCAGAGCATGTGATGTACGGTGATCAGAGCTTTAAACACCACCGTCCAGTTTGTGTTCTGCGAACGTTCAATCAAAAGGTTCGCGAGTTGCGGTATGGAGACATTCGGCTCATTCGTACAGTGGATTAAATCTGAAATGAGAAAGAGAGAAAAGGAGAGAGAAAGAAAGATACAGAAAGGGGAGGGGGAGTCCGTTTTTGGCGACAGGTGAGCAGGTGAGCTCAAGGTTGTCGGAACGATTTCCTGGTATTAGATTCTCTACAACAGCACTTTCGACACGATAGCTACGCGAAACGCCTACGCGCATCACAAGTTTACAATGGGACACTGACCTTCATCTCACAAGATTACAAAATTGCAGCGTAATTCACATACGATTCACAATTAACGTCAGCAGCCCACGACGTAATCGCGCTTGAACGATTATTCTTTCATATGCGAAAATTCTTATCGCAAACGCATCATTTCTCTTGATCTCAAATTTCCAAAAATTCCAATTTCAATGAGAAAATATTTTTTTTACGTTTTTTTTTCGTGTCCGCTCATAGATATATGTTTGACTATTATATGTAAAAACGCGAGATGAAAGCAGTTTAACGTTGAGTCACGAGTTTAGTTTTTAGCTTGTTCAATTAAAAAGTTCTCTGCTACTTTATATTTATTATATTATATACTAATATATTTTATATTTACTGTAATATGATATTTTATTTAACGAAGAAATCGAATGTCGCAACCATTGAAAGTCAGTTAGGACAGATGTTAAGTCGGATATTGCTAAAGTAGATCGATTCTATCCCATGATTCGAAAACGAGAGAAAAGAAATTGAACCATATATTGTACTATTGCTTATTCTAGAGATATCCTCTAGAACAAGCAATTTATACTTTAAAAACGTTTTGTAATAAGAGACAATATATACCATGCAAAACAAATTATTGTCGCGTAAGAGCTGGTTAATGTATGAATTTACGATTAAGTCGCCTTCTTTTGTCCATAATTAGATTCGCAAGTAAACATGTAACGTTATAGACAGGATTCTCTCCCAAATTCTGTCCGTTTAAAAACAGCTCGTCGAAGAGCAACGAAGGTTCGATACTCGAGCGTTGCTCGAGCCCTATTCCCTTCATCGGTGCTCTCGAAAACGGGAATAGCCGATGATATCGATCATATCGTGGCTCGGTGACTCCGACCTGCATGTGCCAAATTCGCGTCACTCGACTGTCCTGTTACAGGCTTGCGGAAGAAGATATCACGCGACAACGTCGTCGTCGAACATCAATCCGGCGTGGCAGAATCCGCGCGGCGATACAACGAGTGACGGACAATTTACGCATCAATCGCGATTGATCGACGAAAGCACTCAGGAGGGCGATACATCGTGTAATAAGGTTAACAACGCATCTTTGCTCTATTTCTAAGTGCGTCGACATTTAACGTCGAGACGAACGTCATTGGTACGATGACCATTCCTTGGCTGGCTGGCTGACTGACCGGTTCGCCAATTGCGAATTTGGTAATGTGCGATCAAATGGTCGAGAACATATGCTAACCCTTTCACTTCAAAGAGATATGGCTGTTTAAAAGCGTGTAAATACGTCCGAATTTGTCGTATCACTTTATAAAAGATATATATATATATATAATAATATATATATATATATATATTAGAATCGTGTTGTGTTTGTGATTTTTTAATCATTATAATAAATTATTACACTCAAGATAGAACGAAAATATCATTCCAAGTCGCGGTTAATCCAAAAATTACAAACAACCAGAAAAGGAAAGCTTAAGAATAGCATAATTATTTAGACAGCCAAATTTACATATTTTTCATGCACGATATGTGAGCGATTTTTCCTTCGCATGACCATCGAGAGGGGAAGTGAGAAGAAGAGGAGGGCAGGCGGTTAAACAAGCAGACACAGGTTGTGTCTATTTGATCGGTGTGAAAAAGATGAGAGTTGAGCAACGCTTTACCGCGGACAGTTTCCCACGCCTTTAAAACCATCTCTCGCTTTCGACCGATGATCCCGCAATATCGAAGTCACGAGAGGGCTTCTAACGAAAGTGCAGAGCGGAGGGGCACCAGATAACCGCGAATAAAGCAGTGAATCAGCAGTAAACTCCGCTTCTACGAGCTGAAACGTTTCCATACGGTTAACGGTGCGAAACACACTCAGTGTTGTCCGAGGCGAATTTTCCAGACTGCATTTCGCGAAATGAACCAAAGTTACATTCGAAAGATATGCCACGTGTACGCGTGATTTATTACACCGTATAATAATTCATTTCTCAGTGCAATTTTCTTAGCGACCTATGCTTTCTGGATTTTGACTCTTTGATTCTGAGATTTACAGCGCATCAACGTACGTATGTAATTGCGACGATGAACTACAAAATATTGGTTGAAATTTGAAGTTGTTTTTGATCGACGAACGAGAAGTCGTGAATTCAGGCAAATAATAGCTTATTTTTAAACTATTATATGAAAACGATATTTTTTGCTGAAGATAACCATTATTTAGAAGAAGGAAAGTAAACTGAATAATCGCTTTTCTCAACAGAATTAGAATGATATTTTCCTATGTGTAACGGGATAATTGCGTAACCCTTTATGGGACAATCGGCCCTGTCGAACACAGAAGTTGCAACGCACGATTTGTCTCTCGACCGCTTGTCCTTGTGACGCTTCTTGTGCTAATTATATACTCTCTTAAACGCAGACGGATTTGGCGGTCAAGTATGTCCACCGGCGTCGCCGCTTGTCAAAACGAAAACACGTTTTACAAAAGTTCATTCAAGCCACCCGGAAAACAGCACGCGTAGCAATCCACAGCCGCCTCCACACACTGTTACATGTGGGAAAAATACGAATTCGCGTCGAATTAAAAAACACGGCCGCCGAGAACCGAGAGCGGCCGATTAATATTTACGTCTATGACGTTTATGACATATCCAGAGGAAATATGTTAGTGTTTATAAGTGTGAATAGTATATATTAAAACATACCAAGTATTTTAATATTAAAGGGCCAATTATTGAAGCGCTAACACGAATAGTGCGCCCAGGTGAATTGTTAAATTAATAATCAATATTTAGTAATACATGCATATATGTATGTGTGGATATATATTTTTTATTTTCAGTGTGCAGGTAATATTAAATGATCATTCAAATTAATAGATATATGTAATAATATTGTCAGCCATTTTGGAAAAGTTTGCTCGCCGTAAGCTCGACATAGAGAGAGAGAGAGAGAGAGAGAGAGAGAGAAAGAGAGGATACCATGGGGAATAAAATTTAATCGTTTTAATCATTCAGTGTGCAGGTAATATTAAATAATCATTCAAATTAATAGATGTATATAATAATGTTGTCAGCCATTTTGGAAAAGTTTGCTCGCCGTAAGCTCGACATAGAGAGAGAGAGAGAGAGAGAGAAAGAGAGGATACCGTGGAGAATAAAATTTAATCGATACACAACAAATGTATGTTCAGCGAGACACGCAGCTGATAATACGCCAACAGCTTTTAAATAAATCTTCCGATAAAGTCATGCGACTGGTAATTGTCGGAGGATGTTAAACAGAGTGCTTGGCAAAAAAGCAATCGCTATCTAGGAGCTGAAGGGGTGTGTGCGCCGTGTGTATCTCCAGACACGGACGGGGGCGTGTGCGATAACGTTATAAACGCGTTTTGGCAAGGAGATTATAGCTGCGAGAGCCGCAAAAACCAGCAGCCGTCGCCGCCGAACCGTGGAGTTTCCTGATATAAGCATCGACTATATCGTCGGGGAGATTGCCGAGACGTGTCCTAGACCGTGTCTTCCGACTTCCAATTTTCCGACTCCGACCATCATTTCTCAGTCGAATTTTACTTTCACCTAAACGAGGTGCTTCGAGGCGCTCCTCATTTCTTGCACTATATTAAAATCCAAGGATCAGGGATCAGTAAGTATCATCCGAAATATCCGAATATTGGATGTCTCATACGCGCGACCAATTTAAAAGAAGAAAATATCGCCGATATTAAAGCTTCACGACAACGATATTTTTGCAGCCACACATCGAGATGGAATTTCAAAGTAGAAAATCGTACATTTCTTTCTTTCTCTCGAGAAAAACTCGAACACCTCCGTACACACGATACAATACATACGATACGATACATCCTTCAAGGATAATTCTCCCCCATTTTCCCCCATTATGAGAAATCATTTCCGACGCGCTACAACGCGAGGTCAAGAATGAACCACTTCTCTTTAGATCGGTGCGGCCTCTCGCTACTCTCCTCCCTGCTATATTCAATTTCTCATTTTTTCATCTCCTCTCTTCGTCCTCCGTTCAACAGCCTCCGGTTTGCAAAGCGATTCTCGCACACGCTGCGTATATACACGCAAGCGATATGTAAATTTAACCGGACAGCGCGCGGTGTACCTATTCCTCCCGTACGCTCGAATTCTCTCCCGGTTATAATCGCGAAACGCCTACTGATACTCGCATCTTATATTGAGCGGAAAACGCGCAAGGATCATCGAAATGCGAAAAGCGGAGCAAACAATAAATTAAACTTTGCCTCGAAATTCACGTAATTATCGTTTCATTTCGCTTCAATTAAAATTCATCTTATTTTATGTTTTACTTTATTTAATGCCTTTACTCCCTCTATAGATAATAAAGCAGCTTGGTTTAATTTCGTAAACGGGAATCTGTATTGAAAAAAGATTATGAAACTAGATTCTACATTTGTAAGAATCGCAATTACGCCTGAGACTGATTTATATTACACGCAACATTATTTTCATCATTCACGACGAATTACTCGATTTGCATACCTTTTTCTTTCCGCCAAAAAAAAAAAGAGAGAGAAGAAAGACGCACCGCGCTCTCCATTTAATAATTCGCGATTGTACTCGATTATATCAATGTCGAGGAGTCAATGCGATGCCAATGTCGCAACTGTAAGTAATGTGACTTTATGCGGACGCAATGATAACGCACGCATGGATGAATTCCATTTCGGAATAAGTGGAACATATGGTAAGGGGTGATCAATTGTAAATAATCCGGGCCGGTCGTAAATTGCGAAATGGAAAGAGACACAAATGCATTTCGCGGGCAATCGA